TTCATTTTAACACTAGAATTCGATGATACTTTTGAGCAATTTTGAAACCACTTACATCTAGATAGTCGAGGCATATTTATGCATGTCTACTACTTCTGACCATTCTCTCCATCAGTAAAGCAGCACCTAGCCGTTCTTCGGCGCCCCTATGTGGCGCCATTCACGCCTAGCAGCTGCTGCTCTGCATAACCTCCATACCACACAGTACTCATATTTCACAATCTCAAGCCCACTGCAGTTTTGTTAAACTCAGGAAAACAATCGCTTCTTTAGGCACGAACTCTTTACTTGAAACTGGAAATTACTTATTCATTAAATCTATTTCTAACAAAGAGTGCTCCGTGACCATTTCTGGCAACCTATATTGAAACAAAAATCGCCACTCTAAACATCAAGTATCGTCAAACAGAAAGCCGACTCCCATTTCAACACTGAACACTTTCCAGATGAAATAGATTTAAAATATTCCCATTAGAAACTAGTTGATCATCAGCATATCTGAAAATAATACTAAGAGTACGCTTCATCCCAGAGCAAAATGCAGTTATTCCTGTATGATTCTTCACAATCTCGAAGACACTGTTTTTCTAGGAAAATCAAAGATAAAACTCTCATAGCCAAAAAGGAGTACAACGTCTGAGACATCGGCTATCTATGGTCAAACTAGGTACACCCTAAATATTTTCCAAAAAATCCTAAGCTCTAGAAAATTCGTTTCGAGATTTTTAAAAATTGACTTCAGATTCGGGATTCCCCGACTCCGATTTACTATCGTCAACCTTTATGCAATATCAACGGTTTTACAAAAAAAGATTTCCATCATCCAAAAACCGGAACTCAAAATTTCTAAAATCTGATTTCAGAGTCGGATTCCCCGACCCCGAAAACCGATGGTACAGTTTCATTAAAAAACTGAGAACCTTAGAAATGACGTCAACGATAGTCGATGTTTTTTTGACCTGCCACAAACATACAAACGCATTTTTTTCCATATGACCCTCCCTACCGTCGAGGGAATAGCAAAATTCGATCAAAACGGCCAAAAGCCATAAAATGAAAAATTTCATTTCTGATTGGTCAGCTCCTGACCAACGAAGCCTCGTCAAAGAAATGGGCTTCGAATTTGGATTCAGGACCCTCGATAACACACAGCACATTTCGATGAAAATGACCAAAAGTCTGAAAATATGCTAACCTTTGGTAAATGTCTTTTTTGACCGCAATCAACCAAGCAAGATCACAAACACATTTTTTTCGTATGACCCTCCTTCCAGTCGAGGGAATAAGCATTTGATATCGGTTGGTAAGTAGTCTTATTCGATCATCGATATTCTTACATCAGTGATGTGTTTGATTTTTACAATATAGTAGTGTAGATAACAATGACAGCAAAAATGAGGAAAGATAAACATGCATTTTTGTGTTCAATATGAAGATATTGAAAAAAACTGAGATAGAAAGTATTACAGAGGCTCCGTTGTAACTTAAATCAATTCACAGAATAGAAATTTATGTTTCAATTTAACCAATCAACAACAAATTTCCTATTTTCGATTCATAATCTGAATTCTAATCTTTTCTTTATTATTCTTTTTTCCCTATTTAGAGAGAGAGAAGAAACAAAGGAAGAAAAGGCATTTGTTTCTTCGACTAGACTATTTTGTATATAAAGATGACGGTGCATCATTCTATAAAAGTACTTAAAGACACAATAGAGAGATATGAAGAGAGGAAGGAAAAAATGAAAAAAAACGGTTGATGCATGCGCATCTCGAGTTGGATTTCACATATAAGAAATACATTACGTATAAAGAGGAAACAAAAATGTATAAGAATAAATAAATAAATAAATCACTTGTTAGAGTACACTCTAACACCTTCTATAGGGTTTATGAAGATGCAAAGCCCCTTTTAAAGTTGTTCAGTCGTATAAACGCTATGATAAACCTTTCCGTACGCGGTATAATCACTTGATAAACCTTTTTATTTCGTCTTTTGATGGGTATATAAAAGGGTTTATCGCATGTTGCTAAACGGTAGAAAAGGGTATATCATACATTGCATTTTCATAAACGCTTTAAACGTTTACCATTCGGCGTTTTTTTTATCAATGGAGAACAGTTCAAAAACTACAGTATCCATATTGATGCATTTGACAAGAGTTCGTTGGTCTATCTAGCAAGTTGGTATGTAAAAATTCCATTTGTGTTTTTGCCGGCCAATCGACTGGCCATATTGTTAACCCTACCATTTTCTCAAATACCGCATCCTGCCCACTGTTCTCTACAATGTTATAATGGCACTTGCGTAGAATATTTCAATGAAGAACGTTTTTTGTCGATGCTATTCGGGATGGCCTGCTGTGTAGTGTCATATTCAGATCAATTGTACTAACTCTTCATCCACTTCGATCTGTGTTGGCTCGATTCGAAATCGATCCATCTGTGTTTGTCCTCTGGGTAAGCTTGGTCCACGTTGTCTCCTCGATCAGTCACGTCCGGAAAAATTTCGCTCAAATAATGGTCGATGTGAAATGATTGATGAGAGAATAATTGACGAAATCTACATATACATTTGCCCTGAACCATTTTTCGGCAGAAAAAGTAAACAATCTAAATCGAAAATAGAAGTTTTCGTTCAAAATATCGAATTTCCATCGTACACATTCGCCTTTATATATCGATATATTAATTACAGACAACCGAGTCTGGTACATGTCTTGCTTCAGAAAATGAAGATGTTTCAGAACATTATTACGTTCTATTCGCAAAGTGCGTTTCGAATAGTTATTCTCAAGACTGATATTGATTATTATTTGGCTGTTCTTCAACAAGATGAATCAAACAACATATAAACAACGATTGGTCCAGCTCAACGATGTGTTCCGTATCAGGAACTGTTCAGTTCAGAATTACTTGCATTACCACGAATTCATCGATTAAAAAGTTATCATGTTCCATGCCAAAAGAATGCTGAGTTGCAAGGTTTTATCGATGAATTATACATGTGCCTAAATACTGTAGAGCGTCACAGTAACTGTTTTTTATTTGATTCTAATATGTCCTTCGTGTGTATAGATGACTTCTATTGTGAAAACGGTGGAATGTGCTGGCAAGATAAAGCAGAATGCCCGGAGAGCATTCTATGTGTATGTACTGATTGTTTCTTCGATAATCATTGTCAATTTTATACCAAAGATATTGGATTGACATTGGATGACATGCTGCGTTATACAATTCAGCCAAATGTAACCTTCATGAATCAATCAATTATCATTGAGTTAAGTGCATCTATCACGGCTCGGAAATGCATCTCCATGTATCATCGATCGTTTCTGGTCTTGCTATTGGTACGTTGACAATCAAATTCTGGTTTGTTGTAATTATTCATATGCATCAAACGATCGATCATCGTATTCTTCATGGAGGATGTATATCAATTGAGATAGCTCTGAAATTCCTTTTACCTGTCAGCAATTGGCTCAATGCTTGTATGGCTATTGAACGAGTGATGACAGTTATAAAAGGAATTCATTTTAATAAGAACAAGAGTAAATTCATTGCAAGATGGACACTTCGTTTTTTACCATCCGTTATTCTGGGTTCGATGATTCCGAAGAGCAATATATTTAGTGTGTATTTCATTACTCTCAGTTGATTGAAAAATATTCTACAACCATTCAACTCTTTCATTTTATTGTTCCGTTTCTGATGAATCTATGCTCTGCTATCTTCATCATATTCAGCTTGGCTCATCGGCAAGCGACAATTCAAACTCGACAACGTTATACACAACAACTTTTGACACAATTCAAGAAATATAAGCAACTTATTGTCAGTCCTATTGTGCTGGTCATTCTATCCGTTCCTCAACTTTTAATCGCATTATTTTCCGACTGTGTGAAAGCATCACGAAGTCCTTGGTTGTATCTGTTAAGCTATTTTGATTAGTATAATATAGTGTTCTCGTCTATTTGTTGTAAGAAACTAGAATAAACAATCTGATGGATCCACTGTTCTGTGGTGTACAATCACTATTTAGTGTAACGTATAAAGATTCTTGTCGACGCATATGCCAGCTTACTGAGAACATATCTCTGAAAGTTTATTAAGAAATTGTTCAAGAGTATTGTCGGCAGTAAAGAACAAGAAAATAATACTTTTGCAATAATACTAAAACATAAAAAATACTCATGTTCACGGAGAAATTGTTGCATGACTGCGTGACTAAATGGTCGGAAACAGCGCATATTTTTGCTAGCTTCCTCTCATGGTTTAGAAGAGTGTTTTTGAGTTCTTATTAAATAAGCGTATGTTGGGCAGCTTTTTGTGCTGATTATTTTGGCTATAAAAAAAGTTTATTAGTTAATGCTGAATATGAGAGGAGTCAACGAAATATTGATAATTCATATACCAGTCATCGATTATCATTTTCATATTTTCTGAATCAAAATTTTTATTTCAGATTCACGTAGAATATTGGATATACGTCTAATATTATGTATTTTTGAAATTTTTTTATTTATAATTTTAGTAAAAAAGGGTATGAGTGTGGATTTGAAATAAATCGGAGCCTCACGCAACACACACACCCGAGATAGTTCTACTTGGAATACCTTGACAGGCGCATCGACGCTGATATTACTTGAATCCACTGCTGACTGTACATATGTACGTAAATAAAGTGTTCAATTTTTAGTTTCGGATCGCAATAGTGAAACTATTAAGACTTGGAGAAAAAATTCAGCCTAAGCTAATTTTTTAAGCGTATTAAAGATTTCCTCATTACTCTCTAACAAAGATCGGCGAATAATCTCTGAGTCTACATTTTGAAAGAACGTAAAATTTTGGTTCTAAATCTGCAGTTTTCGACTCATCTAACATACTTTGAAGTGGCATGTGAAGCCAAATAAGTGCTTTCACTTCATTTGCACTTCTTTTTGGAACGTAAGATACAACAGTTTAAATAGCGAACAATCTTGGCATATTAAAGTTATTTATTTAGCATGATTTAGGACAGTGAGCAGGAATAACATAATCACTATCACTTGCGTGCGGTGTAAAGTTGTAAACCTCAGTAGTACTAGTAGAAAGAGCTACCAGCTGACCGGTGCTTGTTACAGTTTCACGATTAACAATATCTTCATGAATCAAAGCACACAATGGAACATTGCTTTTTTGATTAGAAAAATTTTGAGCGACAAAGTTACGAGTAGCTTGAATGGTGTTGGTGCCAGCAGTCGTGGTACTGTTAGATCGATACAACTGACCTTTGAATCCTACACCAATACTGATGTTGTCGACAAATTGCAGTGCATCTGTTATACAAGTAATGTGGTAGATGCCAGATGGCTTGGTAGTTTTCTTGCAGGTACATTGTTTAGCATCATAAGTTAGCTCAAAACCGAGAAGAGTTGTCTTATCAGTAATAAAACCAAGAGTAGTTCCCTCAAAGAATGGTCCAGTACCATAAGGTTCTGCATTAAAATCGATACGATATCGGTAGTTGTCTAAATCTGGATAGTGTATGTATGACATGATGATATTGTTCGTGGCACAACCACTTGTTGTACAGTTAGTCAAAGAGACAGAGGAGGCGCGTACACTCACACGATGACCTCTTGGCATGCAACAGATATCAGACTCTGCTACAGCGACTTGAACGAATAGGAAAGTAGCAAACAAGATGATAACACTGTTGTGATTGATCATGTTTTATGCGGAGAAAACGAATAGAATCTTAATTATAAGACAATCTAAAAGAAACATAGTTATAACTGGAAATATTCACAATTTTTTGGCATATCTTTTATTAATCTATGTCAATTTTGGTAAAGTAGGAACCTCCAACCAAATAAAAGCGTTGTCAAGATTTCTGACATTATCACCAAGTGTGACGCAGAAATGAAGTTTTAATGTAAATATGTTATTTGCCGAATATCTGCGTAGTGTTTAGGACCAATTTGAAGCAAATCTGAGAAAGTCTACATGAATGTTTTCAGAAACGGCGTACCCGCTAAAAAAATAGGCTTAACAGATTCGAACGAGGGAGCTTGTAGTAGATGTTAAGCGACAGCGAAACTTGAGCTCTTAAACTCTAAAACAACTAATCGACCTCTTTTCGTATATTACTGCTCTCTATTAAATGCACGGATAAAGTTTGAGGCAAGAATTGCCAGTAAACTTTTCAAAAAACCAAATCCTAGTATCGCCCGAACTCTTATCAAGCAGAAGTGCAACCATTCATGTTTTCGTTTCAAACTCCGAGAGAAAATGAATGTATGAAAAATAGAAAAAAAATTCTTTACAGAGGAAGGGAATGAGTTGCACAACTTTAGGTATTGCCAGTAAATAGCGTCACTTGAAAGCACCTTCCGGATCAACACATGACAATCTTGAAAATATTCATTTTCAGACGAAACAAACACCAAAAAAAATATATCCAATCGACACTTTGTCTGAAGAAACTGTTTTAATAGTTGAATATCTGTAAAAAATTAGACTCACCTAGTAGGTCAAAAGAAAAAAGGCAAACTGTTCGGCTTGTATAGTGAAAGCGCCAGTTTTGTTAAAGAATAGAAAAGGCAACCGTTGCTTAAGAGCAGTTTCTTACAAAACGAAGCCTTACGTTTTCTTTCTCATGCACGCTATCTCGAATAGGGAGCATATGTTACATATGACGAGAATCTTTCTTCCTCCGCAGTTGCTCTGGGTTTGGATACGAATGTGGATGTGAATGTGGGCGAAGTGAAGATCTAGAGTCACACCCACTCCCATTATGAATCTTCCGTTTTTATTAATTTATTATAGAAGGGATACTTTTTTTGAAATTCAACTTGATGGTGTGGGTGTTGTAACGATTATATTTCAGTGCAATGTTTTTGCTTTGTCGTGATATTTCTTCTCAGCTTACGTATTCCTCTTATCCATCTCTCTTTGATATTTCTCTCTATCTTTAACTGTCATTCGTTCTCTCTGAAGGTTGGATATTTCAATGCATGCTTTATATGTAATCTACGCTATTGATGATATGAAGAATTGAATAAAGTGTAATGTCATCAGCACTAGCGTTTCTTCGATCAGAAATCGTCGCAGGTGTGAATATAATGTGGGTGCAAATAAAAGCTGCTGATACCCAATAATCAGCTCTCTCAACTTTGACTGCTTATTTTTCTTTGACAAAAAGAAGCATAGTTTATCACTCCTACACATCGTAAACAACTATTATTTTTGCTCTCTGTCCATCCAGTTAACAGAGAGCGAGAAAATCGATGTGTATTTTTTTCACTTTCATTTCATTTGCATTCTGGTTCGTTCATAGGTGGTTGCCTAGCTGAGTAAGTCAGTAAACTTTCAATTTATACTCAATAATATTTAGGGTTAACCAAAAGTTCTGATAATGGTGCTACTGAGACTGAGTCATAAAGTAAGCTATACGAAACCTCCCTCCTATGCATTGTGATAAAGGAAAGAACACTTTTTTTCTATGGTATTTGATCCTACTTCAACTAATACTTCTTGCATTATCATTTATGTTTCAGTACGCTTTATGTTGCGGTATTCAATCCCTTGATATATTGCATTAACAACCAAAATATACCATAAGATACAATATAAAAATCTGTGCAATATCTTCATAATAAAACTTATTAAAATTGTTTAAGAAAAAAAAGAAAATTTGATGCGACCAAATTTTTCATTGCCCAAAAGTTGGTCCCTAAAAACTTTATTCATTGTGAAAATCAAAAGTACATTTATAAAATAAAATGGTCTTACGTCAATTGGAGAATTTTTCGCGCTGACACTTATAGTATTAGTAAAAGTATGATAAAATACAACAGAATTGCAATTGACTAATACATATACTGTCACTCGTTTTGTTTTTAATACTAACATTTAGTTTTCCTAATTGTGGGTGTGGGTGTGAATGTGCGAGTATTTTTGTTCAGATACCCACTGCCACACCCACACAAAGAATGTTAATATGGCAAAAGTCAACAATTACCAAACGATCCGGATGACAGACCTTGAACGTGTGTGTTTTTAAACATATTATATTCCACTATTTGACTCATTAATAGCGAAAATAAAGTTAGCTCAATATTTTCTACCAAAATCATTCAGTTTTCCTAAGCGATGGGTGTCTGTCAATCTTTTAAGAGATCAAATCAAATCAAATCAAATCAAATATTTTATTTATATTTACATTCATCTCGTTTGACGAAAATATTAGCAAAACAGAAATCTTTTTGAAATTCAAAATAATTCAGTGACCAAACACGTTCTCGCTAGCATAGGCAATGTACAAGAAACCGTCTTTGTCCTTATGTTCCGCATCGATCTGACCCATAGTCGCACTCATTTGTGGGATACTCCAAGACGGTTTAAAATAGTTTAAGGGGTTGAGTATTCCTTGGTTTGTATTTTCGACAAAGATACAAATGGTAGCTTCAGCTGGCAATGTAAGCCGTTTTCGAAGGATCCACTGGAATTGTATCATAGTGATATCTTGTGGGACTAGAAATTTACGCTTGTCAACATCCGCTATGTTTCACTCGAGGACTCGTTCGACAACTATCGGAATTCGTTCTGGATATCTTCTACGAACTGCTTCAGATTCTTGCACACGATATTCAAACGGTACGTCTTTCTTCAATTGGGATTTCATTGTCATTGTTGTTTGTAGAATAAGATCAAGTAATGTATGCTTTGTCTAGTCGATTCTATATAGAAAATAAATATATGCGGGTGAAACTATTAAAAGAAATCTTCATAATGAATGCGTAACTTGGTTTATTCCCATCGCATTGAATGATAAAATTTTGCATTCTGCCTCTTTCTCTCTTTGTTGAGATAGCACAAATGATCACGCTCTTACATATGATGAGTATGAATAATGTTTACCTTCTACGGTATGCTATAGAGAAGTTTGAGAAGCAGCTAAAAGGTGACTCATGATCTTCATTGTAAAAAAAGCGTAGACCAATAAACGCTTGCCCTATCTATAAGTATTCATAAACTCTTAAAGGGTTTATGATACGAAGGGTATATGAAAAAAAGGGTATTTTGTTTAAATATTCAAGGGTGAGCGTTTATAATTGTTCGCAAAATGGTACTTTATTCTACGGTTTCAATAGAAGGGTTTATGATTGTTCATGAACCCAGTTCAAACATTCCCGTCAATGGATCCCGTAGGATATTCCAGGAAATATGCGGCAAAGTCGCCATATCCTGCAGGAAAACACAGGGAATCGCTGGAACGTGGAAGCAGTATTCTGGTCGGTTTTCCGGCGGATCCCTGCCAAGTTCCAGTGCTTTCCGTCAGGAATTGATCGGAAATCACCGGAAAAAATCCAAAAAATTTCCGACCGGAATACTGCTTCCACAAAATCAACTGAAGTACCCGGGACCGACCATTTCCAGGTCGAACTGTTCGACCTGGGAAAAGGGTATTTTAGACAGACTTTCACAGCAAGGACAGTTGTCTTTTACGATATTGCATGGTGCACTGGAAATAAAAAAGAGTAGAATAATAAACCGTCGTCCTTCCTACAAATCATGTTAAACCCTTGAAGGGTTTATGAAACGAAGGGTATATGAAAAAAAGATGATACAAGAAAAAAAAGGATTTATTAATCTGAGATTTAGGGAGAAGGGTATATGATTTTATCTCCAAGGGTATTTTAATATGCGATTTCGAGAAAAGGGTATTTTATTCTACGGCGAGGGATTTATTGTTCTACTCCATCATCACAAGACTTTTTTATTCTTCGTTCAAAGGATCACATTTTTTCAACTCATATATGTATATCATGAAAATTTCTCACAGAGCACTTCACACAGTTTCATGTAATAAACATGTTAATCCAATCATTTTCTCGCAATGCAGCCATTCATGCATCGATGCACTTTTCATTTCGAGCCAGACTTCAAGCCGCACATTGTTTAAAAATCAAAAGCAGACGGCTTCACGTGAGCAACGTCATACAAAAAATTTAAGTTAAATCAATCTGAAAGATATTATGGTGATTGCAGGTTTAATCCAAACTAACAGTGGCATTCAGAAGAAAAAAATTTGTTTTTACATCCACCCAAGAGAACAAATTAAAGTAGGCATTTTACTTCAATATATTTACATTCTTCCTTTACTTGGTTGAAAATAAGCTCAAAATAATGTAAGTAATAACATTTTAAAAATAATTTCAGGTTATCTTTAATTTAGGCCAGTAGCCACAGTCAATGGAAAATATGGGTGACTTACTTATATATTTATATCGTTTCTTTTATTTACGTCCATTAAAAATGAAAAATGAAAACGGAAGTATTAAAACTTTCTCTGTGATTATTTCGTTTTCTTATGTCGGTCCACTGATACAATGTATTCAAAGTGAATATATCGTTTCACATATGTCTTTGTAAATCTTATATTTTTCTACCTTTAGTTCAATATAAAACAAATAATGTAAGTATAAAAATATTTTATAAATAGCTGTTTCTTTTTTTTCTATTTAGACTTGTCGAAACTATACATGTGAAAGAGCTCTGAAGATCGATTTCTAACATATGGGACACCCAGTCATACAAGCGCCTTGAACAAACGCGTTACAGCAATTACATATTTTTGACGCTTTCATGTTGTAAGACGTTAGAGCATCTTAAATTTCTTAAAAACGCCGTATTTATGATTTCATGCATTTTGCATCTACATCTACTTCTCCTAATAGAATTTCGTACGACCCACACCCTATACACCTCTCCAGACAAATATGTGCTATTTTTAACACATGTACTTATAAAGATTTTAAAAATTGATCAACAATTTTATAAAAGTATGAGAAATATATACGTTATAGATTTCTAGAAAAATAAGAAACATGTTAGAAAATTTTTGAAAAAATGGAACAAAACGTTTTTAAATCTTTTTTGAATTTTTTTTGAGGAAATATATTTCTAAAACAAATTTTTCCTAATTTATTTAAATATTAAAAAAAAGAATTTTTATTTCCAAAGAAATAATTTTTTAAATGCAAAATATTTGTATTTTGTTTATGACAATTCAAAATGTTATAAGAATTGATCCGTTTAACTTTATATCATCTTCAGTTTCCTGTAAAATTTCGTTTGATCTAAGTAGCATTTCTTATTGTGGAAGGGTTTATGAAAGTGCAACGTATCATAAACACTTTAAGGGTATAATAGTATACGGTTTTTTTTAGTGTTCCGAATGGTATATAAAAGGGTTTATGAATATTTTGACATACGGTAAAAAGGGTTTAGTCTACGTTGGACTTTTATAAACCCTTAAAGGGTTTATTATTCTACCTTTTTTTTTACAGTGTTGACTGTAGCGATTCAGGTTTGTGTTTGTTTGTTAATCTAGAAAAAAAAACTAAGACAGTCAACATTTGGCAATGGCGCACTGAAATCAACACTGAATTTAAATGATAATGTGGTAATTTCATTGTTCTTGGGAAATCGAATTTTTGAGGCATAGTAGTGTAACGGTCTTCGCCTATTCAACAAAATAGGAGCCTGATTTGTTAGCCACTGCAGACATTGAGTGAGCTACTGACCTCAGATATTATCATTATACTCATTAAAATGCGTACGATCAATTGATGCTTTCGCTACAGGAATTGTAAGCAAACTAAATTATTTGCCAAGTGTCAGATCCTATTAAGTCATTGCACAATATAATAGTTTCATCTGTGACAACCTGAAGTGAGATCGATTGGGACAATAGGCGGTTTCAAGTGTTTTACATTATTCAAACTCATTGGCGGGGACGGGAACAGCCAATAAATTGCACAAAGAGCCAAAAGTTTGTCCGTTGTTTCGAAGTTCGAAATTAATTCGGGGAAAGGGGAGCAGAAAGAAACACACCTTTACCAAGTTCTCGAGCACTTCAGACTGAATGAGAAATTTTTCAAAAATCAAAGGATATTGACGCACCAAAATATTCAAATCCGGAGAAAACTCCAGTCAATATATTTTGAAGTATAGGTATACCATGAGCCACTGGAGAGTTCTTTGCTATTGATGTATCAGTTCGTATCACCAATAAGCATTATCAATAGCGATCCACGATAGCGATGTGCACAGGAGAGAACAAAACTATCATTTTTGTCCTGTACCAACCCCTAGTTATAACTTTTAAGAGGTGAATAATATTTTATTTATTCGATCAATGAACAACAGTAAAATATTTACTTTGATGGAAGTACCGCAAATCTAATTTAGAATGGTTTTCTATTGTATTTGTATTTATAATATTAATGTGTATTGAAAATCTCATTTTGTTTTATTTGAAATAGACATGGATAAAATTAGCTATAAGATAAGTCATGTACTAACATGTAATTTAGTGATCACGAGTAGCTGTCTAATTCGAGTTCCAAAATAAATGGAGAAAAGAAAAATTTAAACTAAAACTAAATCTAGGAATAGATTTAGTTTTAGTTTAACTTTCCGATATATGCGACATATGAATACATATATACCCTTCACCCGCACGAACATTTGAGCACTTCTCCATGGTATCCATCACCCACAACCATACTTGAAGTATCCTGGANCCCCCATCTGCACCCCTTCCGGATACCCTTCATCCACACCCACAGCTACCCCTTAGTCCCCTTCAACCCACGCCCACTCCATCTTAAACTAAATGTAAAACTAAATCTATTTTTATCATTTATTTTCGAATTGATACCATGCAGTTAGATGTCCATTTATATTCGAATTCGAACTAGACATCTCATGGTGATCACAAGTAAGAATAAACATTTTTACTGCACTACTTTTATGATGACGACTAAAATGGCATAACATAAATCAATTTCGTACTGAGTCATACGAGTCTCGTTCATATATTTTGTCCATCTACGTTCAATAATGAAAGTAAAACAATTGTTTACTAAAATAGAATCTCATATGATAAAGAAATGCATGACGATATCAGCCCTTTCTAAACAGGCAGCTATGCTTTCAAAGCAAATTATTTTCTCATCAGTACTGTTCCAGCTCACTAAGAAATGAGTATCATTACAAAAACAATAAAAATCGAAACAACTATTCTTGTTTCTTGTCCAGAAAAAGTGTTTGCCCCTTATTTTCGTCTACTTATGTATTTGCTTGAAACGGGATGAATATTTCAATGCATATGTATAGATGAAAAATCGAATTTTCTCACTGAATCGACAACAAAAAATTTCGAAACAGGAGGTTCCATGTAAAAACAAATTGTATTAAAACCAGAAGAAAGTTGACTTTTTAATCGATTAAAGTACAGATAACAATCAAAATTTTACTATCTCAGTGGAAGACATTCCTTTAGTCGACATATGTTTGTAATTCATTGTTAAAAATAACTATAATTGCATATGAATAGAATCAATTTTAACGTTTGTTTTAGGATCAACACAAACTGCTACAATTAATAATTGATCTACCACGTAGATTGACAATGGCAGCTGATGGGTGTAAATCCCTATTGCATGCTTTAGAAGAAAATATATTAGCTAAAATCGCTTTTGAAAAAAATTAAATGGTCCATCACTTAATGATTTTCTGAGGAAATGCTCGCGTAAAATTGGTAAATGTTGATCTTAAATGTGCTTCAACTAGATTTTTATCCCTTTGTTCGTTTAGGCATATGGATTGGACAATCAAATATAAATAACTTTGATCAATCGCTTACACTGTTTCACAAACAATCGACTCAACTAATTACCCGTCAGTGTGAACCATAGCCTTTTCCCTCTGCTTATCACTATCTTTTTTCATTTACAACAAGTTATTTTCGTAATTTCGTGTTTACTACTATGCTGATTAAAATAATGCAAATTATATGTAATCACACTAGAGTTATTGTAACTTTTTCTCAATTAAACAATAAGAAAAACAAGCTGATATGGCAAAAAGTGCTGAAGAAAATGTATTTGAAATACAAAAATCAGAGAACAAAAGCTAGAAATGCACAAAAACTTTTTTTTGTAACAAATTGAAACTTTCAGCATTGCTTAGGGGTGAAAAACAGACGAATTAGTACAGCTTCGCCGAATAAAAATCTTGACGGAAAAATATCGAATCAAATTTGATCCATTCTAGATATAGAATTTTATCCTAACTAACTACTTTAATAGTGACTTGATTAGTTAACCCCATCTAACTTGATAACCAACTGATTTAGTAATAAACTGAGTTGATAAGCCACACCCACACCATTAAGACCAAAGTCAATAAACCTTGTAAGATAAAATAAAATAAAAACTGGCCATGATTATCAATTTAGGAAATAAAAGAAGGTCAAGGCGTATGTTATTGGGGATACGTACTACTCCTGAACTAGAGCCCAGCGCTTCTCGAAAAAAAAGAACCGAGAACCGGATTTTCAAGATTCTATTAGGGTGTGGGTGTCTGAACAAAAATACTTACACGCCCACACCGTCACCCTCAAGTATGTTATTTATATAATTTCAATAAATTGATGATGTAGCACAAGTTGATTTTTATTTAATATAAAATAATTAAATAAAATAAAATTTATTATTTAAATTCTAAATGTTTTTTGTTGTTTCATTTATCGATATTTCGTCCTTGTTTATACCGACATTTACGAGATTAATGATGTTTGTAGGATAGTTGTTGTTGTTTTGATCTAGTTTAATGTTCCTTATCCACGAGCTGCTGAGAAATAGCTGGTTATGAATTTATGTCAATGGTCAAGCTAATATCAGGAAATAGTCGCGGATAAGGAACATAAAATTAGATCAAAACAACAACAACAACTATCCTACAAACATCGTCAATCTCGTAAATGTCCGTGCAAACAAGGACGAAATATCGATAAATGAAACAAAAAAAAAACATTTAGAATTTAAATAATTTTTTTAATTTAATTTAATTATTTTATATTAAATAAAAATCAACTCGTGCTGCATCATCAACTTATTGAAACTAAACAAACATCTCGATTATCATATGATACATTAAGAATTATACAGTTTCATTTATTTCTAGTGAATATATGGTAAATTAAATTATAAATGTATTCTAATCTTATTATCATGTCTATTCAACTAAATATTGTTGAAAAAAAAAACATTTATACTAATGTTCATTACATAATATCATGATTCGAACGGGGTCTTTCCAGGTCACTTGGTGTAAAAGCAATGGGTAATAATTCTTGTAGCTTATACAGTTTTGATTCATTTTTTGCATTAACAAGATAAACGTCTAAATCAAGACCAAATTCAGCTAATGTCTGGCGACATGATCCACACGGGCCAGTAAAACCCAATTCAACATCCCTACAGAAAAGATCAATTTATTATGATTTTTCTCAACAAGAAACTTACGAAGTAATTGCAAGTTTTTTAAATGATTTTTCACCTTCAGAAACGGCTTTTACTACTGCTGTACGTTCAGCACACGTAGCTAAAGCATATGAAGCATTTTCAATGTTGCATCCCGAATATATTTTCCCGCTTGTTGCTAATAAAGCAGCTCCTACTCTAGTTCAATAGAAGATTAATATAAATTAGAGACCTATCCGACGTTTCTTCATACCGAAATTTTGAATAGGGACAATATGCTTTATGTTTAGCCAAATGAGCTTCACGAAACAGTTCTAAAAAAGAGTTAAGAAATACTCTTCTTTATAGCAAAACAAAATAGTTAGACGACGGTCACATGCAATAAGGTTGTTCGAGTTACTACCTTGCAGTTCCGTTGATGAAGGAGCAAGCATAATTTCTTTCTCCATTTCAAATTGAAAATAAAATTGAATTCAAATAAGCCAATATAATGTTACAATCACGAAAAAAGAAACATAGCTATAAATATACATATATACCTTTACATGTAAACAAACATAGACATACTCAAAAAAGAAAAAGAAAAAGAAAAGAAAGAACAGGTGAAATCAACCCATTAAGGCAGGTGTCACTTATCACATTTAGAAGAAGAAAAAAGAATAGAAGAAATCGATCTACATGGCTTCTATATAACGCCAATAGATTGAAATAGAAGACGAATAAAAGATAACGAAATAAATAGTATACATATATCAAGTAAACACTATAGTCTCTCAATCGATGAAGGATTATAGGTATTACTTGTTGGTGGCCTGTTATGATTAATACGTGGTGAGATGCCACGTGATGGTGCGTCTTTCGATTGTGACGTACTTAATACTAAACGATGATGTTGAGAATCATTGGTTTCATCATTTAAATTAGCTTTTCGATGTGTTAAAGGTACTGATAACGATTGATCGATCACAGGATGTTGAGTTGCCGGCATTGATATGGCTGTGAGTGAATTCGATTGTTTGCTATTGATCAATGATATCGTTGATTGTGCTGTTGTCGTGGTAGTTGTGGATTTCGGTAAATTAAAACAAGCTCGGCGTATCAAATGACGAGAATTCGATTTCGATGGTCGAACCGTACCCGGTTTCGAAAGTTCAGCTAGAAAAAATTTTTAAATTTAATGACCAACTATCAAAACGCTAAATTTCATATTTACTTAAATGTAATGCATATCCATCGACAAGAAAACGTGCTTGTCCTTGAAGACGATTTTTTACTTTACCAACTACAAATGTTTTGTCAGCTGGTATATGAATGAGTTGATAGCCAGGAACATCTTTTGATGAACCATAAGCGGCTGTGATCACTAAATCTGCATTTTCGACAACTTGTCTTAACATTTCAGATTTATGTTTAATTGGTTCACGATAGATCCCATCATTGAACAATGTCATGCCATGCGGAAAATTATGTTGAGCAAGCCAATGAACAACTTGCTGCTGTTGAATATCTGGACGTGCTGTTACATAAATAATAATATAGCCCAGTTCTTGCCAATATCTATTGTAATATAATAAAAATTTTAATTTTTTCCCTTCACCGAACATCGTTTTTACCTGACGACATCAACAGCACCGGGTCGTACTTTAGGATCATGATGGCTAACTGAAAAACTCGATGTAAACGATCCATCGATACTAAATATAACTGCTTCACTCTTCGGCGGTAATACAGTTAAATAAAGATCAATCGTTGTGTGATCGCCGCTAAAAGAAAATGATTCGATATTGCATTTCACCATACAAAATTCTCTAGTTTTACCGAACAACAAGTTTAACCGGATGCAATCCCAGTGGTAATTTTTTATCATCCGATATTGTATATCGTACACGACCATGAGTATCGGTTTCAGCTGTATCGAGTAAAGTCCATTCTCCGTAAGGTGCTGATCTCATCACATAAATATCGACTTTTTCATTAGCTAAACAGACCATATCAATTGGTCCGTAGTGAAATTTTGCATGAATAGTTTGCGCTCGTGCATCGACTACCATCGTATCATTTCCTCGATGATTTGGTGCTAAATTCTAAAATGCAAATTGTAACGAGACAAACAAAAATAGAACTATTTCTCATACTCGTATTTTAACAGCTGTAGTGCGATGTAACCAACGTTCCGTTGGTTTAACAGGAGCGAACGAACATGGATTCGTATTTGCTGGACTATTAAACAGGTGAAATTGTTCTTGATTGCGTGTTATCTATTTGAAAGAAATCATTTAAAAATAAATCTTATTTCGAAAAAAGGCATAGTTACATTTCGTAAAATAAATGACATGACATCACGAGATTCCCAGTAACTTGAATGAAAAACAATGGGTAGAACGTGTGCTGGTTGGCTCATGAGAGATTCCGGACAATAAACAATATAATCGGTACGCCTTGAACCCCACCAAGTTTGACGAACTAGAATTATTGTTTAAAATTGAATTTGATTTCAACAAGCATGTTTCTCTTACTATCAGCAAAAAGAATATTTGTTGCATTGGGCACCTGATTTGTACTATTATTTAAGAACAGTTTCGAATATTGATGAATATATTCAACTATTTAATTTCAAAAAACAAAATTTCGAATAAAGATGAAAACAAATTTATTTTACTCAATAAGGTTGATTCTCCATCGCCTAATGGGAATTGTGAATAACGAGGAATACAGCACGGAGGAATTTGACTAAATTCTGATTGTATTAAAGGTTCGATACGCGATGCATTTGGATCGCAGGCATGAAATAAATTGTACAATTGTCCACAACATGGACGAACAACTATTTAAAAAAGCAAAATACACGTAAATATCCCAAATGCCGAAGTAAAATACCTCTATCAGAAACCATTTGTCGATAAGCAAGAATAAGTGAAAGAGGTGAACCAAATGAGAAGAATTCATTTACATCAAATCCCAACATAATACTTGAATTTTCTTGTCTAGTACGAAGACTTTCCCTAGAACACGTAACCGCTCATTGATATCTCTGTTCAAATGTTCGTAAAAATCTTACACATTATCGCCAACTTCAACATTATCGTTAGTTACCGTACATTTAGCGCTGAGTCGATTCGATGAATTTCCTGAATTCGCATCATTCGTCTCATTGTGAGTTCGTTTGCCAAGTGCTGGTGTACGTGGCGTTAAACCGTCTGGTAAGCACAAAATTCGATCATTTTAAATAGAAACTAATTCATTTACCTTCACCACCATACAATGAAGTCGTATCATCTAGAGTATGATTTAAACATAAGGCATCGTAAGCTAAAATTGCACCATTTGCATCTCCGATAATCACAACCTAAAATATTTTTCATTTGCAGAAAAGAAAAGCTATTTTCTATTAACAGACTTGTCCTGAAAAATGTCTTCCTTCTTTCGATGATATAAATTCCTGGTAGACTTTATTGGCTGATGCGACAACATTTGCTAGATTTGTTTGATAGCCTGAATTCGATGTTGCAAATAATGGAATTGCATTGATTGGGAGTGTTTCGCCATGCGATATATCATGTGTTATATTTAAAGCGCCATAGGGTGATAAACGATTAAGTAACTCGATCGCTTCAATACATATAGAACGACATTCGACAAAACGAATTGCCGTTTTTCCTTCTACAGATGGATAATGATTTCGTACAATAGTCTCGAACGTCGAACGAAAACTGATAAAATCAGTTTTTTTAGCACTAACAAACGCATCTTCGGTTGAGTAAATATTTCCTAATTTGAGAAGAAACCCGAACATAGAAGACACGTATGTTCAAATGAACAAAATAACTTACCGCCATAGAAAATGAGAATAAGAATTTCAATGGTACATTTATTGTTATTATCATCTGACGCTGATAATCCACATGCTCTTTCATCATCGTCGATACTTGATTGATGAGAGTCGGAATTCATTGAATTGTGTAATTGAATATCGTCAGTTGAATAAATTAAGCTCCGACTTGAACGTACATTTGGCATATTTTCGATGAAAGCTAGTCATAGATACAGACATGTTTTCTTCCTCTCATTAGAATAATACAAAAAGTCAACAGCTGTTTGTCCCTAGAGTCATTGTTTTCTTCTTATCATGCAAAACTGATGAAGATCTATCGTTTTGACACAAACTTACTTTCAGCATCGAAAAATTCATCGTCAGATATTTCATCTCTAGGTAATGGTGGTACCGGAAATGAATTAATTCTTGGTCGGCTAGCATTGATATTATCAATAGACATTTGCCGACTTCGTCTTATTGATAACGGTTGCTTAACATCGTGAGTGTCGTCAGTTGATTTAGTTGAATTATTGTTGTTGTTGAATGATAGATGACTATTTTCAATTTGAAATTGTGCCATACGGTTATTTAGTTCATGTTGCGTTTCATCTTCTAAACGTCGAATATCGGCTAATGTTAAGCCTTGATATTCATCTTGCCAACACCATGCCTGTCGGTGCGCCCGTAAAATAGTTTTACGCAAAGCTATATAAGCATATCCAATAAATAAAATCCTTTCATAGTTTTTGTTTTACCTATTTCATGAATAAATCGTTCGCATCGACTTTGCATACCCCAATAGCGAAATTCGGCTCGGCATAATTTATAAGCGCACATAATCGATTCTTTTCGATCATATTTTTTGATTTGTTCAAACCAATCAGGTGCTAATGGGCCACGACCTAAATCAAAAAAAGTTGATTATTTATCGTTCGTAAGGTTGAAATCATTAGGATTAATCTTTCGAGTTAATTTAACGCTCGAATGTCCAAAATGTCACGCGCGTTCTTTTTCTCATTATATACTCTAGTTAATGACATAAACACAGATGGAAAAGCTCGAGTATTTACTAGAATATGTTTTTGGTTGACATGTTTGTAAGATAAGAACGGCAAGAGATAAATATAAGTCTGCAAGATGAATTCTATCTAGTCCATGTAGAATATCGCTTACGGCACTATTGCATGTTCTTATGCTAACCTGTTTTTTCCGAACGAAACATTGCTGGATTTTCTGTTGGAATATCTGCTAATGGTTGACTGTGAACAATATCAAGAAATTCTAAATAAACGATAGCAAAATTATATTTTTCTATCTTTTTTTCCGTTTGAAAAATACAAACCAACAGTTCGTTGTTCGATTTCTTGTGATTTTAAATTAAAAATATTTTCTTGCGTACCGAAATCCGCTTGATAACATGTTTCTACTTCCAATAGAAAACGATCAATAAACGGACAACGGTAACGTGTTTTTGTATATGGATAAGCATTCCATGCTTCTTCTTCAATTTTCATTGCATTCGCTGGTAATATGGCTTTAAACCAGCCAGGCAAATGACGTTCGATATGATAAATTTTAAAAGTATACTGTCCACTACCACCGGGTCCATCTGTATAAGGTTCATTTCGAATTATTTCAACACCACTACCGGAACAATTCGTTTCTTCACGACTCTTTTTCTAAAGAAGATAAAATTTTTGTTTTTCATGGCAAAAAAAAAAGAGAATCGAACTAAAATATTAGTAATCATTGATACTGATTAGATTTCTATGAAAAAAATTTAAAAGAAAAAGAGCAAAATTACTCGTGCAGCAGTGAGACCTCTTTCAAATATTATTTTTACCTCTGATGTTTCTAAAATATCCGGTTGTAATAAACCAATTTATTTTTTATTTGATAAAACAAAAATTTATTTTTAACACCTACCACAATCATGTACAATTGAGCAATCCGATATTCACCAACAGTCATAGGTACCGGAATGCGATACTCTTTAATCAGCATTTTTGTTTAATCTAATTAATATTAATATAATGGGTCATTGGTATACGAGAAAGACATTGATTGCTGCATTGTTGTTGACGATTATCGTAAGAGATCCGTTATGTGTGCGTTTGTGCGTGTGTATGAGGATCATCTGAAATCACTTGAGAAATTGTAGATGTTCCGTTTTCTCTCTCTCTTTTTCTCTTAGCAATTTTCTTTTCTTTCCATCTGTCGGTTTCTCAAATCAACGACAGTGATAAAGAAAAAGAAAGAAAGAGAAGAAAAAACGAGTAAGAGAAAAAAGAAAACGACATTGATGACTGACGACGTTTTCTTAATGTTTGATCCACATGTCAAAATAGAATCGTAACATAATCGTCTTTCGACAGAGAACCATTTCCTTATTGTCTCATCCTACTCCTATTCCTCCTCCTCCTCCTCCTCCTCTTCCATAAGCAATCTAGCAAATAAATCAATCACGAACCTCTCAATATATCTATTATTTTTTTTCTTTCTTCTTTCTATGTATCTCACATAGAGTCTATGTAATAATGTGAATATTTATTAGAAAACAGCAGGAATAGTTAATAATGCATGTTGCAATTCCATTTAGTCTGCATGACGATTAAAAACAGCGTTTATGCATATTTTCGAGAGGAAAAAATATCTGCCTACCTGTTTGCTGCATTATTAAAATTTTCTTCTGCACTTATTAAGTCTTGAAGCGAAAAACATTTCCTATTGAATTCTATATCCTGACTTTAGTGTGATGATAGAAAGTACTATGCGACAAGAAATAATAAATATATAACATAGAAAAGCAAGGATTATTGGCAAACTTTATTTCTATACGGAGCTACTCATAAAGGACGTCCAGCGCTGAGAATTTTTCTCAAAATACTTTCTTCAGTTTTTTCAGCGGTAGGAGCAGCCGGCATCTCAAAAGCAGGACATTTTCAGATTTATTTGAATAGTTAAGTCAATGATTAAATCGTCAGAAAAATGAATAAAGTATTGGCAATCTATTATAATAACCACGTGTGTATTGCTTCGATGAACTTTCTAAAGCACCGAAAAAAATGTAAAGAAATAATTTTTCGTCGGTTGCACGCTTCTAATTCTGTTGTTTTTAGTCTCAAGGCTAGGGATGCACCAGTTTTTCCAGTCGCGACTGTAGTGGCGAATCCGTATTCTTTCAGATGATTTTAGTTGTATACTGATGGAGGATGGATGGACGGAGCAAACAGAAAAAAGAAAATTATTCACAATTTAAATAAACGTACTTTGAGCACTATTTTTCTTTTTCGTAAAGCATATCAAGCACGTGTATCTCCTCGAAATATTCAACATAACAAAAAAATCAAGAAAGTAGTACTGCTGCGAGACCTGCGCGCATAAGCTCAGCGCTAACAGTTTTTTTCAAATTTTGGGCAACACGATTTATTGCGGTACATCGAATTCTAAAGAGTAGAAAATGCTCCAAGGGTTCCGGTAAAAATGATAGAATTTTTTTCCCGACGATTTACTATTAGAAAGCTGACCGGAACTGGGCTTTCACTTTACCTGGGCTTCCTCTGTGAACGGCGCCTAAGCTTTCAGTCTTGTCATAACTAGCCAATGAATACAATGGATGGTGCTGCGTATAATCAACATTAAGTTTATTGTGACCTAGGAACAGAATGCGAAACTATTCCTATTAAAAACTTTTCTAATGCGTATAATTGAATGATATGTTATAATGTATAGAAAAATGCAAGCGTCTATTGAATTAACTAATCAGTGAAAATAATCTCCGTACATATTTTATTTTTGTTGAATGCTTTCGATAAGATATATTTGGTTAATATTAAAAATTTATTAGCGCTACAATCTATCACGTGTGCTCAGCGACACGATGGGCATGAATTTGTTTTATAGGGTTAGAATTAAATGGGTAAAAGCAAAATATTTTCATTAGCAAATAAACAGGAAAAGTAAATTAGCATAGTTTTATTCTGTTTCTTTCTTATCAGGCAGAAAAAAAAGATTTATTCTTCTAGAAAAACTACAACGCAGCTCCACTGAAGTTCTCTCAGTATGAGATAATTATTATTTTAATGATGTGATGGTCTTATATATATATATATATATATAGATTCATTTTGACTTGACAGATTGTTTCTTAGAAACGATGTTTAAAACTGATTTAAGTAGTTTGTTAAGTAGCCTTGCCGCAGGTCCTTTTTTTCTTGAAGATGCTGTCGAATGCGCAGTTCTTCATTTCCGGGAAATAAATAAGATTGGATTTATCATGATAAAAAAAATAGAAACGATAATTTTAATTAATCATATCGAAACAGTGACTCGCGATTTGCGATCTATATCTACTGTTGACATATATTAGTCAACTTTCTTTTGCGTGATAGGACTCAGATACGATAAATGGTGCCAATTAATTGTGATGTTTTCTATTTGTCATTTAATAGTCGACTTATTTTATTATGATTGTCTACGATATATACTAATGAAAGATGCGACCAATCAGAAAGCTTTGTTTTTCTAGAGCCGAACCTGGATTTGATTCACCTCAGTGACCCATAAAATATACGAAACAAAAAAACATTCATCAACTTAATTAAAAACCAGCCATTCTTGCTATCTTGAACAAGATGAAAAACATCTTAGAAAGTTGGTCAACCAAAAAACTCCCTAAAATAATTACCTTACGTAGATTTTTGTTTGCCGGTACAGATCTTTGGATCTATACTGAAAACATTTTCGATCTGAAATACAGAAACTGCTGGTCTAATCAAATATATATGTACAATAAGATTCACATAAGAAGAGAGTAGAGAAAAAAAAATATTCTGAGAATTAAAGCTGTTTTCGTGTCCATTTCTCTCTTATGCTTTGCACATAAAAATCAAATTGAAACGAATATAAAAGTATAGAATGTTTTCTTTGAGCAAAAGATCAACTGAAAATAATAAATAAAATCACGGCCAGTGCAATACCAAGAAATACACGTGATAATAACTCGTGCTGATAACGATCAGGTGTACCTGGTGGCGCTAAAACCAAACAGCTTCCTTATTTTCAAAAAGAAAAACAGAATCCATTGCATACGTGGAACAAAACTATGATGGGCGTTAGTTGTTGTGAATGCTGTTTGAAATAGGCCAAACGGAAAAGCACCAACACCGAAGGACATTTGAAAATTAACTCCTTCGCCAAATCCAAAATTCTAATCAAATCATTTAGAACAAATTTCTTTTTGTTTATTTTTTTACTCGATTTGGACGAGGCTCTTGTCTCGTACCGGCCGGCCGAGGTGGTATAGTGTCTCTAAAAAACAAGAAATCAGACAGTATTTATTTCATGAGGAAAATAAACTGCATGAGAAAAAACCGTGGATCAGTTTGTGGAGCATTGCGTCCATAGATTGGAATTAATTGTTCACGTGAAATACTACTTTTACACACTGGACATGTTGGATTATGAACTCGAGCTTCTAACCATTGATGAATGCATGGCCAACAAAACAGATGACCACAACGAGACAGAACCGCATTATGAGCCGTTTCGAGACAAATCTATATATGTTGTTATTTTTTTTGCATACTTGTTTAATGATGAATAAATCGGAGATAGTAAACACTTACATTGCACTCAAAACCTGATTCTTTATCATTATTCGATGATGTGTTCTTTTCATCATTGCGATCAGACGATGATGAAGCATTATTATTTTCGGTAGAACTTCTTTCGGTCGATGCCATCGAACGAAAATCTTTAGACAAATATTTTTAGACCGTTTTGAACGATAATTCAACGGGATGAGCAAGAAAAACAGGTATTGTTTTCTCAAACCATTGATTGGCTTGCGTTGCACCATTGCCTATCAATAAGAACCTCCGACTCATATAACAACCAATAGAAAAATAGAAGCAACATTAAGTTTGTTAACTTATTAGTTTATTGATGAAGCTTATTTAACAAGAAACAAAAAAATGACGATCACAAGGACTTTTTTGCTTTCTGTTCTAGCGTAATAGCATGTTCATCATTGTAATTAATAGTGCATCGAGGTAATTCATTTGTTAATAATTTGAGTATTGCATCGCGATGTTTTATGCTTGATAAACGAGCTAAAACAATATGTTTTAAATTCCTAAACGAAATATTTTTAAAATTGCATAGCACTAAAATAGATGACTTACTTTAAGCCAGCTAAATATGCAAGACCATTTTCACTAATCTGAGCTAAATCAATAAGTTCTATAGATTCTAGTGAATCTTTTACTTTATTGCATCGAGCAATCGAACCTAAATCAATACAATGAAGAAGAAAAGTCAAAAGCAATGAAATAAATATACTATCACAAATTTGATCGCATTTTTCCAAATGAATTTTCTTTAAATCCGAAAGTCCATCTGAACAAAAACAAAAGTCTACAATCGAAATAATCAAAGAAATCATTCACTCACCTAAATATGCAAAACCTTCCGATGTAATAGATGCATTGATGGCGCGAATTTCTTCAATTTTAAACTGATTAGAAGCACCCGCTGGTATCGTATTGAAATGCGATGAAAATGTTCCCCAATTTTTAAAGCGTACTGAACCACCACAGCGTACTAGCCATTCAGCACAAGCACGATCAGGTCCTATTTCTTGCACACGCTTTCGATCATATCTATTTAAAAAAAGCCAATATTTTAGTCTGTCAGAAAAAATAACTCTTTTGGAGAAAAAAAACCGTACCTTACTTGTTCCAGACAATATTTAGTGAATTCCAAAATTGTCGATGAAAAATCAACGGCGAAAAACTCGAACGTTGACTAAGTATTTTTGTCATCTAAAAATCACAATCAAAGAATGTTTTTTGTGTGTAAAATTTCTTGAATATTTTTCATTGTATTCCAAAGAAATAATTCAGCTTTTAATTGATCGAAATATTGCTTGTTTAATAAATCAGACATCGCATAAATCTTTCTGCCTGTTTCGTCACACTTAGCAAAAACAATATCAGTCTGACTCAAACGCAATGCCGCACAAACATCATTATCACCGTCGCCAATAAAAATGATTCTATCAACTTCATCGTTTTCTCGATATCTATCAATAATCGAACCTTTACATAAATTCGGTTCACATATTTTACATTGTGTTTGTAGTGGATTTTCATATTCATCAATAACTATAACCGGATGAGTTTGACGCACCGGATTACTTTCAATTTTATGGACATACTGAAATAAATTTTGTGCCTGCAGACATTCTCTTATGACAAGATCACACGCATTACTCATGACTATAATTTTCCCATTTTTCATCGATATATCATGAAAAAGTTCACGCACACCGGGATCTAATTCAATTCTACCGAATGTTTCTATTTGTTGTTCGGTTTGAATGCCTTGTTCAACAAGACGTTTGTGCACTTCATTCATTCGTCTATTCCAACAATGATGCACTTTCTCATAACGATAATCGATGTCACTAAGATTCTCATGCGCAAGTTCATCAATAGGATCCGACGATGAACGAACGGTTAATGTTTCATCAAAATCGAAGATAAACATATCCTATTTAGAATTCAATCGAGAGTGTCAAATCTGAAAGTATATTGTTTTTCTCATCCCGCAACAATAATCCCGTAATGGTTTTTTTTTCATGATTAAACGCACCGCATCCGGTTTGCCCTACAGAACTAAGTTAATACTGATATAAAGAGATTCAGATAAGTGTTTTTTTCGATCTTCTTTCTTTTCTTTAACACGCAAGAAAAATCTTGACTAATAACAAAATCTTGTTGTCTCTGTAAAAACTGCACAGGCGACATAAACGAATTAATTTGTCGCTGTGTCAGTTGTAGCACCACCTGCTTTCTGTTGTTGTTGTTCTTCGCCTTCTTTATATGGTTTGACCGCTGGAAAGAGTAAAACTTCCTGCGAACGAAATATTTAAATTGAATTTATGCATTTATGAACGATTTGAATTACCTTGATATTATTACTATTGGTAAGCATCATCGTAAGACGATCAATGCCTAAGCCCCAACCACCAGTTGGTGGAAGACCATATTCAAGTGCCGTACAGAAATTTTCATCGATTAATTGTGCTTCGTCGTCACCTGCATCCTTATCCTATTTTAGAAATCATTTGTAAATATTTCAAATTTTGATTAAAAAAACTCTTTACTTTAGCTTGTAATTCAAACATTTCTCGTTGTACGATTGGATCGTTCAATTCAGTGTAAGCATTACATGTTTCTTTGTAGCAAATAAACAATTCGAATCGTTCAGTAAGACCTGGTATTGAACGATGGCTAGAAGGCAGAAAATTTAGAAGCAAAAAAAAATTTTTTCAGAACTTACTATTTAGCTAAAGGACTCATCAATTGTGGATGATTGCACAGAAATGTCGGATTAAGACATTGCGTTTCAAGAAAATGACCAGCCAACTAGAAATCGAAAATTAGCAACAACAATGCTTTTTCTCTCTCTTTACCTTATCAATAAGTCGAGCTGTTGTACGTGGATTCGTACATTCGATATCATGTCTCTTGCAGAGTGTATCAAGAAAAACGTTTGCTATCGGCGTAGACAGTTCAGTAGCTGGTGGAAATTTTTCACCTGTAGCTTTTTCAAGATCTCCAATTAAATCCAAACGTTTAAATGGTGGCGTAAAATCGATTTCGACCGGTGCTTGATCAAGTCCATTTACATGATATGTTATTTTATAGGTTCCAAATAGCTGTTTAACAAGACCAGATATTAATTTTTCTGTTAATGCCATTAAATCATTATAATCAGCATAGGCCATATAGAATTCGCATATGGTAAATTCAGGATTATGCGTCATATCAATACCTTCATTACGAAATACACGACCGATTTCATAAACACGATCCAAACCACCAACAACTAACATCTAGAAAATGCAGCCGATGTAGAGAAAAAAAACCTCCTTTTTTTGTCATTTTTACTTTAAGATAAAGTTCAGGTGCAACACGCATAAATAATTTCATGTCAAGATCATTATGATAGGTAACGAATGGTTTAGCTGCTGCACCACCAGCAATCATATTCATCATTGGTGTTTCAACCTAATCGAACAAATACAATTGAGTTTCTACAGATAACAAATAATGATTTTGTGTTTACTTCAAGAAAACCAAGTGTATTAAGAAATTGCCGAACATAATTGATAATTTTAGCTTTAACAACAAACTTTTGTCGAACCGAATCATTGATCATTAAATCAAGATAACGTTGACGAAAACGTGTTTCCTTAATAAATAATTAAAAGAATTCATATTGGTTTCTAAATGTAATATGCCACATTATCGTGCAGATTAAATACCTTATCTTTAAGACCAAAATGTAAACTTGGTAATTGATGAAGTGTTGGCGTTAGAATAATTAATTCAGTTGGTATAAGACTTAATTCGCCTTTTTTTGTTCGTGCTAAAAGATCCAATGAAATGCATAAGGTCATTCCTAGGAAATCTATTTACTTGGTTTGCCCTTAGCACCAACGATATCACCACGACGAATACGATCGTTTACTGTTGCGAATTCTTCTTCGTTGTGATAAAATCTACACATGAAAATTTGATGAAAAATGTTCATAATAACAAAAGCGAAACGTTCTACTTGAGATTAGCCATAATTTGAATCTTAACCGAATCACTATGAAGATCATAGAAATAAAGTTTTGTTCCCGATGAACGTTTTGAATAGATACGTCCTACGAAAAATATGACTCTTTGTTTGATGATCATAATTAACTTAAATTTTACCAGCAACAGATACGATATCATCATTGGTTTCTTCGTTTTTTAAATACGAATATTTATCAATGAAATCACGTAATGCTATTGAAACGTTATATTTATGTGGATAAACTGTTTCACCGGCTTTTTTAAGCTGCTGTATATGATGCAATCGCATTTTATAATATTCCTATCCATGATAGAATGCTATAAGAAAATCATTTTTTTTCCGAGAATTTAACTTACATTAGGATCAATATCTTGATCATCATTCTCAGTAGCAGCAGCAGCAACAACAGCAGGTTTGTCACTGTTCGTTGTTGGTGCAGGAGTAGCAGCAGCTGCTTTTTGCGCCTTTTCTTCAGCCTTTTGATGGGCTTTTAATTGCCGTTTGAGTTCACTAAAATGATACACAATCGTATACTACACTTTTAAAACGCAGGCCATCTGCTCCTCAGAAAAAATCAATTATTGGCATTCAGCTGAGCTCAATATATTTGCATAGGGATTAGAGATGTGCAAGACTGGTTCCGATCTCCGAGGCGAAAAATGTTTTTATTAGCTCCCTTAGAATGCGTACCATTTAAACTGCGCATTAAGTGGATTTTGAAAACGTCCCGCACTGAATATAGTTCTTGTAAAACGAGCTAACATGATGTTTTCTCTAATGATGGAAAAGCATCTAAAAAAAGAGAAACATACTTTTTACTAATTTTTTCTTGTGTTGAACCTTGTTCATCAGTTTTATCGTTAGCAGCCGCAGACGACACTTGAAAAAATACAAATTATTTCGTATAGGGAAATTTGATTTGTACAAAAAGAAAAAGTTCTTACTGTTAGATTCTCTTTTCCTCGGTACAAGAAATGATCAAATTTATCTACAATAAAATGATAGGATTATCTAGACAACAACAACAACAACAAACAAATATGTGGTAGCCTTAGCACTAATTTTAATTTAACAAAGAAAAAATAAACACCAGTATTCTTAGGATGCCTACATGGTGAATGTGAATCAATTTACTATTGTACAAATTAGGAGCCAAAAAAATAGAGATTCGCGTTATTTATTTTTGTCAGTTAAACTTTCTTCTGACGATGAAATAGTTGCACGTATATTTTCAATGGAGATTGAACGCGAACGAGCTCCGTTATTGGTCATCGGAACACGAATCGATCGACGTGTTAATCTAGATTGATTTATTGGGTCGGCTGAATCGGTTGCAGATATTTCCATACGTTCAAGATTATTTCCATTTTGTGTTAGAGTAGAATTTAATAGATCAGGATTAAAAACCGGTTTATGTTTACGAGCACCATTAAAATAATTACAATAAGCGCAACGAAATGCTTAAAAAGAAACATGAAACAAAAAACAGTTTTAATTAAATTATTAGATAATTTATTTACATAAATATTCAAATTCTTCTTCTAATGCCATGCCTACAAAAAATTAAGAAATCAATTTTTATTCTCGATAAAACTTTTAAAAAAACTCACCATTATGACTATTGCACGATTTGCAAATCAATGCGTAACTAAATGAATAGTTCGATTAAATTGTTCGTTAAAAACTTTCAATAAATTCTTACCGTTTCGATGGACCATCTCCTACAATGGTATCAAGTATTGCACCCCAAAATGTACGCTGTGGTGGTAGTATAGCACGTGGTAACTTACCCGGTGTAACACCAGCTAAATAAAAACTTCTATTGGCGAACCGTCCATTCGAATAAATACCCTACCGGCTAAACGAGTGGGTCCATCCCGAACTGGTGTTTGTAATTGTTGATTTCCATTTTCGAATAAACTGGTATTAGGCGACATAACTGAAAATGAATTAATAGAGTCGTTGCATAAGAGAAAACAATTTTTTTATACCAGAAACCAGTGGTTTTTCTGCACCGACTATTGGTGGTTTGATGGATACGCGTTGTTGAGGTTCTATAATATACATAATTAATTCTATAAAATGATATTCCCCGATGATTACCATTCATTGTCGGTGATCGAACTTCTGGTGTTACTTTTTCGCCATATTTTTCCAAGAGATTTTTAGCTATCGCATATGTTTCTTTATTTTTCACTTCTTCAAACTATAGACAAAACAATATAGAATAAGATGAATGATATTTTGTAAATTCTTACTAATTCTTGTTTTCTATCATTGAATAATCCTAATTTTTCTTCTGAAAAACAAGACTTACAGGATTTGCTGTCTATCTTCGGTTTTTCTTTACCTTTCATTTGAATAATCGTTCGAAAATACCAACGAATGACCCAATGAATACCGTATAGTCTTCAAAAGCAAAACAAAAAAAATCAAAACGAATTCAAAAAAACAAAATCTACATACAAAACTGCAATAGCGACCGATGTTATAATCGCATATGCTTGAACGACTACATCTTGTGGGAAAAATAGTGTATAATAAGTAGCATTGGTAATTAAATAAGCAAGAATAGCATAAATAGCAAATAATTTAGTCCATTGTCGTTGACGTAGACGTGTTTGAGTTAAACTTTGTTGTAGATTCGTTAATTCCTATTGAAATTTAAATGATAAAACAAAATATTATTATTCCAATGATTCTTACACTATGTAAATCTTCGAGTTCGTCAGTGAGAGTTGTACGAAATTTCTAGAAGAATTTAATTTATTTGAAATGAATCTCCAGAAGATATTTTACTACATACGAATATTCGAAATTTAAATAATCGCCTCAGAAATGACATATTATTCGATGACTAAATTTTTTACAATTAAATTAACTAGAATATATCTAAAAAAAATCCATTAGCATAATATTTCTTTTGTTCGGTATCTGCCAATGAATGATGTGATCGCGTTAAACTCGTTTATCTTATGTAAACGAATAAGAAATAAATAAGCAGTACTCGTGTTTATTGTTGTCTATTTTTTTATTCTGCTAGGTGATTCATGTTGTTAGCTACCATTAGCCAATCGGTTTATTGATTGTTCTACATGTATTTCCTTCGAGGGAAAATTTGTTTTTCGTTACACGCATCTATTTTTATTCTTCAATAGCAACAGTAATCATGAACGATTTTAACAAGTAATTAATTGAATCAAAGATTTTCATTCGAAATTAATTCAAATTTTTATTTTCAGACGTGTGAATAGTATCGTTGTTAAAAATTTACCAATGGAATTTACCGCAGTAAATTAATTTTAAAAAAATAAACATCCCGAATTGCATTTTCATGTTTTATAGAGTCAGTTGGAACAACTTTTTTCACCCTTCGGACGAATACTTTCAAGTAAAGTTTTAGGACATAATCCAACTTTTGAAGGAGGTTGTGGGTAAGTTTTGTATTTATAATCTATGAATATTTTCTATGAAGAAATACTTTAGTTTTGTTAATTATGCTGATGGTGAAAGCTCGAATCAAGCTGTTGAACATATGAATAATTATGTTGTTAACGGAAATATTTTATACGTTAGTCATTCAAAGGTAAACAATTTTTTACGTTTCATAAAAAAATAATCTTCATTATTTAGTTACGACAAGCAAATAATAATTTCCATCGACCACAAAATGGCTTGTAAGTAAAATTAATTCGAAATAAAATCACTGTTGGAAATTCGTTTAATTAAATCCTAGTACCAATGGTGAATCAAACAGTCGTCCGATGTTCACAGGTACTGTCACTCCAGAGGAGACACCATCGCCTGGTACTAACAATCGATTTAGTGGTTTTCGATCGATGGCTGAACGATCACCGAGCACAACTCAATCGAAACCGACGTTAATAAATAGTTCCCATTCGAGTACGAATGAATTAACTAATAATGGTGGGCAGCAGAGAACATTCAATGACAAAAGTCCATTTCAAAATGGTGAGATAATTTTACTCCTGCAGAAACCGAGAAATGGATTTTTTTCCTATTAGGTATTCCATTGGTGAATCAGTCGCCGATGCGCATTGACGAACATAAACCATTTGTTACGAATACAACTTATAATATCTATTTATCAAATCTCGAAGTGCCAAATGTACTGTTTGCAGCAACATTAGATGATTATGTAAATGCTACATTGCTTATAACGCAAATGAATAAACATGAAAAACTTGCCAAAGTTCAGGGAAATTCTTATAACGCCAAGTAAACTATTTTCAGTATCAATAGAGAATGTTTTTTTTTTAATACTATTGAAATAGGTTATCAATCGGACAAATTTGTGCGGCACTTTTTAACGCGGATTGGTATCGAGCTCGTGTTTTAGAGCTAGATGAAAATCGTGTACATGTTCAATATATTGATTGGTAAATAGAGATCAATTGTTTTTTCTTCGCTTTTCATATTCGTATTTCAATATAGGGGAAATACTGGATGGTGTGATCCAGTTTTAGAAATTCGTCCATTACCAAATGAGTAAATCAACATGGTTAGTTTCTGTAAAAATAAATAAATTTATTTCTTGTTTAGATATTACAAAGAACCAGCATTGTGCGTCAAATGTATTTTAGACGGCGTATCATCCCATGAAAAACTTTCCAAAGAACAGACCGATGCTATTCTTGGTATACTCGGTAGGATTTGATTAAATTGCAAATCATGATACTAACTTCTGCTCTTTAGTACTTGATCTTAAATTCGAAATGACGGTTTTACGCATTGAAAATGAAATTCCTTATGTACGATTAAATTTAGGCGAAAGAATTTTAAACAATGAAGTACGCGCCATTCTACCATCGTCAACTATAGTAAAACAAAATCCAATCATTAATTTCGATGCGAATAAACCTGAAATAAATCTATCGGAAATTCATTATGTTCAATTGACAACTGTTGATCCAACATCAGATTGTTTTTATGTTTTGCTCATGTGGGATTGTCTCGCGACAATCATGAATGTTTTAAAAGATTGGAATGCAACTAAACAACCGTGGACGACACCGCCGAAACCCAATATGCTTGTTTGCGCACAATATGATGCAGACGATTTTTGGTATCGCGCATGGATTCAAAATGTGACTGGTATAAAAAGAACATGTTTTTTTTTCGTCAAAATTTCGTTAAAAAAACTTTTTTCGTTGACGTAGAAAATGGTTACCGTGTATATTTTGTTGATTTTGGCAACGATGAAATCGTTTCGATGGATCGTCTTAGTGAATGTCCTGATATTCTAAGAACTATTCCATGGCTATGTGCAAAAGTTAAACTGACGAACATTAAATTAACAGACGATGAACGATATACACTTTTAAGAGATTTTGAAACGGATCGACTCGAAATGAAAATCATTCAGAAACAACAGGATATCTATCATGTCGATTTAGTTACGAATGGAAAATCACTTGTAGAACATATCTTAGAACTACGAAAGAAACAACCAGCGCAAATTACGCCGATTGCTATTGAGGTTTGCCGAATTTTTCGTTAGGTTTAAACTAGAATTTTTGTTTGAAGGCACCGATACAACAAGTTATTACAGCAGTTACGACAATTGAAAAACTTATACGAACATCAAATGAAAGTAAGTCATTCTAGTATCTAGTGTCCCAGATTTTAAATGATTTCGATTTCTTGACCACGATTGTTCTCCGGAGTACGGGACGCATGTGCTCAGTTTATTCAATATAATTTTCCATTTAGATTCACAACCTGTTCCATCGATTGTTGACGTACCACTACAACCCACCCTACTAACCAGTGGTAAAAGTTTGCAATCACCAATAACAACGACGGATGTTGCAAAAAAATCGCTAAATTCAGTACTGAAGCCAATGCCAATTACTGAGCCAAAGAATGATGACTCTGTTAATGATAGTTTAACGACGCTAATCACTGAACAACGTCGACAAAATCGCTTACTCGAACAGGTGATCGCAGCTATCAATACAACAAATGCACTTCTTACGCAACTTGTTCAACGTTGAAAAAAAAACGTTTATAATACATGCGTTCTTATATAATTAGGATCAGATATTGAATCTAGTTTTGCTTGTTTTTTATGCTCTGAAATTCAGTGATACGTTCGATGATCACTTATTGCCAATTTTGTGATACATATAGACTCTTGTTTTCGCAGCTCATATACATGGTTTCATTATTTTGATTTTTGTCTTTTTATATTTTGTTATTGCGTTTGTTTTTATAACTCGTATATGTTCAGTTTGAAAGCGAAACGAAACCTGTAGTTGTAATAGTTTTACATGCAAAAACAAGTCTATGATTTCGTTTGTTGAAATAAAAAAATGCACAAAAGTACTTAATTGTTAATATAGTGCGAGCGAACATTCTAGAATGTAGCGCAGACAGGCACTAAAACAGAATAAAGAACACAATCACAGCATTGTTGTATGGCCTTCTATACGTTTCGCTTGGTTTTAGGTATTGCAGTTTCATCATTTAATTCTATCGACTGTATTATACGTGATTATCTACTTGCAACGTTTTCATATCCATTCGTTACGATAAAATGATGATGTGATCAATTCTAATAGTATCTTTTTGTTTGCTTTTAATCAACAAGGTGAAACGACAAGAAGTTAAAGAACTCTTGAACATTCTGAAAGAAAATGAACAGCATAATATGCGTAACTTATTTAAAAGGCTCATGCGAGCGTTGATGAAAAATGAATTTCCTCTTTTGTTGACTTGGGTGCATGGCAACTGTTTCAATTCCCAACAGTCATCAGAAAGGTTGATGATGTACTCTCAATAAGCATAACAGTATATAAAGCAATGCTTTTCAACCGATGTTCATTGTAACAAAAAAAACCTACTGTGTGGAGGAGTGTTACTTTATTTTCTACTTTTTCTGTAAGATAAAGGTTAAGTATTCAATAGATCTCTATTAAAATGAAAGATAGATCGGTTGTTCCTAATGCGATCTCATATATTAAAGTGCACAATTGATATTATATAAGTATGTGGAATATGAGCACCGTAAATAAGATTGTTTTTTCGAAAATATTCTCCGAGGAGTGTGACTATCGCTATGGACGACGATTACTATTTTGAATAATAAATGTTAAACTTGAATTAAACTAAGATTTCAACTGTCGATGCGAAAGACAACACACCGGATCTCTCTTTATAGCGGGAAATCAGCATGTGCACACACACAGCATGGTAATTGGTGTTTTGAGAAGCTGAATTCACGACAATTTATTTGTAAAATATTGCATAGAAATAGGATATCGACGATCCAGTGAAACTGAACGAATACAATAATATTTGATTTTTAGATAAATATCAGAAAACAGACTTACATAATGCTTTGTAAAACAGCACTGATCGCCATCTTTATTCTCAATTGTGTCAGCATTTTTACTAGCGATGCTGCGCAATGCATTTGCAATTGCTGTTCCGGTATTATGTGTACACCGACAATGTTGGGTAGTCCTACTATTGCATCGTGCTCGCTTTGCGAGCAAACATGCATGACTCAATATCCGTTAATGTGCACAAACGGATCAGGTAGCACTTCATATCATTGTACCAGCAACAACATCGATAGCAGAAACAGTTTGGTCCCCAATTGGATTGGCGTGTTTCGGTCTGACAACAAGTGTGATCAAAGAACGTGTTGTTGTCCTACTGGACTCATATATCTAACTGCGCTTCTGACAACAATTATCTACACTGTAAAGCTACGTTCAGCGGGCGATGCGGATTGAACTCACCTACTATTAACGAAAAATTACCGATGCCTACTAGTTTCGTGACACAGATACAGTTTCTAGGTCAACGGATCACACTTGAGCTCAGCAAAGATGGTCGCAGAATCAACCATACCAATCCATCGGCCCCTGCCTGTGATGGCAGTGCTATGAAGGATAGTGGTGATCCATCACAGAATATTTTCAAAGAAATACTAAAATATATAATTGGAAGACTCAATAGTGGGTCTTCGATCTCTGTCAATAAGACGTTTGTTATTTTACTATGTACCATCGTGACCGCAAAAATCTTCCTTACTTAATCGTGACTTGCTACTTTTATAACTTTGAAAACTTTCGACTATTCCGTCCATTATGTAGAACTCAAGTCCCACTTTCTTGATCTATCACATGATCAACAACTTCGCGCTTTCCCACAGTGTACAATCACATGAACGAAGCCTTCAATTTTGTACGACGTGTTTTATCCTCTTATAAATAAAATATTTAGATCTACTATTATTGTAAAATAAATCCGCGATGTTTAGCATTTCCCCAGTGGCTTCAAACGATCCAATAAAATAGTCCATTGACTATCTTGTGCCGATATCTCAGCTGCATGATTTTTTTCTCTTTTAACAAATTATATCTATATGTGATGGAAAGGTAACAACAGTAGAAATACTCGACGAAGAAAAAATAGACATCGTTTATTCATCAAGAGAACTATCCAGATTTAAATTAGTAGATGTAGATTGCTGTTTAGCGTGCTAAAATTCATTGCATTGTTTTCTTTGAACTACTCTGATTGTACTTAACGTCTATCGTAGGAACGTAAATATCACTTTCATGTCTGTCTAGGAAAAAGAAAAGAAGTCGTTTTCCTAGTCATAAATGCACTTGAAAGAGTAGAACGGCCAAAGCTACACCAAAATTCTGTAGAAATACTGTTTGTGATTATTACTAGCGAAAATCAACTATAAAAACAAAAGGCATTGATAGAGAATGAAACTTAATTGTTTCTACTCTTGATTTTCGGATAGACTTTTGTCAAGTGTTTCATTACCGTGGAAAACTTTTACTTTAGTTCGTTCGAAAAATTTTGTGTACTAAACCAATACATGATGCTCTTTTTGAAACTAATCTACTGCACTTATTTGAACAACTTCACAAATATCCGATATCTCGCGCTTTCTAGAAATGGCAAATGTAAAAATCCCCGAGCACAAGGTACTTTCATCCTTAGCTATAGTGAGAATATTTCGACTACAATTCTTATCGTTCTTTAAAAAATATTTATTTTAATGAAAATTCTTTCACAAAAAAAATATGAATTTAGTACAGTAACTATATTCCTAACACAGATGTGAATATAAGTACACTGTAGAAATATTGATCAAACGAGATATGAGTCCGATTTTGCTGAATATATTAGTGATTTAGATATATTCTCTTCTATTTTCAAGCTGATTGATGAAAATAACAGTTGGTACGATGTCCATCCATAGCGTATGATACGCCATTGAATTTTATTCAAATCTTTGTGAAAATTAATCATTACACTGTTCTAAACCATCGACCACTTGATGTCGCTGTTCCGGAGTTCGACCAAATATATAATTGTCCACTCGTTTGATGGCTTCTGATCGCATCATAGGACCAAATATCATAAAAATAACACCGAAAAAACAAAGAGTAGAGAGAATAAAAATGAGTACAAGACTCGCAGAACGATTCGATGTTGTTAATGAATAAATGTAGGCAAAAGGCATGGTATCATTCGCAGTAAGATTATAATCGCTCGGCAAGGTATGCATAGAGAATCATATTGATTTTGAATAATTAATAAAAACCTACAAAATGACTAAGACTAACAATCGATGTCATTCTAGTACGTATTAAGGAAAAGTAATATTATTCTAATTGTTTACTGTTTTCTATCAATAAAGTGCTATAATCAATAGGGGTATGACAGTTCAGATCCCATAAGAGACGCCTACATCGATATAGACGTCATCCCAGTGTAGATCCTAACAGTTCTTTCGTTCATTTGATCCGATGACTTAGAAATGAGAACTGTTACACCCCTGATAACCAAAGTGTTTTCTGTTTATATATTATCTACGAGTCAATTAGAGAAATGATTTTACTTTAAGAGTGCAGCTGCACGTTCTCTAGAATAGTAATTTTGCTGTTAAACAAAATCACAAGATATTTTCTCTTTCCTAAAAACTTTCCATGCAATGACAGTTTCAATATCGTTGTTGAATTATTCTTAATTCTGATAAATGAGCAAATATTGAGAATGCAATGTATGTTTCCGTAAAAAAACAAGTTCTACGCTTACACATTGTTGAAATCGACGCTTCGACACGATCTATCTTATTTTGTTTAAACAACGGATGATAGATGCATACATTAGTCGACAAATATACTTCAAGTAGCTGACAAGAGAGGAAAAACGACAAGAAAATAGCTAAGAGTATATTGTCTGTTATTTTTTCTTCGTTGCTGAAGTTTGCTTTTCTGTCAGTAACTAATAGACCGTTTTTTCATACTTTTATCTGTACATGTATATATTATTAGCCGAAATCATCGTGACAGGCATATGCAAAATGCTAGAAGTGATTCTATGCAAAGATATTGATACTAGCGACAATATCATACAGCGAATGAAATTCACATTTAAATCGTCTGTCTATTTTTGATGAATGTTTTATTGGCAATATCTAAAGAAAAATGGGATTGTATAGTTCATTTACGATATATTCTTATACAATAAGTAAATAATGAATGGTTGAACAAAAACCATCATTTTCCATGATTTACCGAAACTTGTTTGCTCCCGTCCCGTGATTAAATATACTTTTCATATTTAGGCGCAAAGACAAACAATGTTTACTGAAGGATAAAAAAATTAGCTATAAAAATGAGTACGTCTGCTAGTGTATATGATATTATAATCATTGGCTGTGGTCCAGCTGGTATAGCAGCTGGATTAGAACTTCGAAAGTATTCATCCATTCCGAATTTTCTGATTCTTGAAGCTCGTGATCGTACTGGTGGTCGAGTTTATACTGATACACATACTTTTAATAGTAGTCAACCTGTTGATTTAGGTGCACGTTGGATTCATCATTATCGTCCAGAAAATCCTCTTGCTGTGTATTATACACCGTCGGATAAAGATCAGATTCATGATCATTTTCCGCATGGTACCAATAACGCTTTTTTTGACATTGATGGAACACGGTTGTCTGAAAGTTTCATTATAGAAGGGAAAAAAATTACAGAAGTATTATGCGAAAATGTTAAACAAGGTTTACCAGAAAAATATGATGTTTCAATTTATGATGGTATTCGTGAAAAACATGAGGAAATTCAAGATGACCAGATGCGTCGTCTTGTTGATATGAATCTTGGTTTTATTGAACAATTTGAAGCATCTAACCTTGATCAGATTTCAGCAAAATCATATTCAACCTTAGAACTTGAATCTGACATAAGTGATCTTGCACTGTATACTGGATTTGGTCGTTTTATTCAGCAGATAGTTGCGCAACATCCTCTACCTATTCAATTAAATACTATTGTGACAAATATTGATATTCCCAGTGACAAGAACGAACCTATTCGTATAACTACAAAAGATAATCGTCATTATTTAACGAAATATGTTCTGATTACAATTCCACTGGGTTGCTTAAAAGCAGGTTCAATTAAATTTACTCCATCATTACCCGATTGGAAACAAAATGCTATTGATCAAATGGGTTTTGGATTATTCAATAAGATCTTTATACAATTTCCATCAACGTTTTGGGATGAAAAATTCGACAACATTATTGTTACTTCGAATAGTTTTCGATTTTTTATTTGTAATCCACATGATCACATGCTTACTTCAGTTGTTTGTGGTGATTTTGCACGTAAACTAGAACAACAAACAGATGAACAAATCATTGAACAAATCGTTCAAAGTTTAAAACCCATCTATCCACAAATACCAAAGCCAACAAAATGGTTAATCACTCGATGGGGATCTGATCAATTTGTATATGGTGCATATTCAAATTTTAAAGTTGGTGCTACCTATGAAACTTTAAAAGCATTAGCAAAAGAATGCTATGACGATCGAGTATATTGGGCCGGTGAACATACAAATTATGGTGGCAACATTGGATGTGTTGATAGTGCTTTTGAAAGTAGTCAGCGAGAAATTAAACGTGTTTATAATAAATTGAATCAAATTTCCAATTGATCGTCATGCTTATTGGACTTATATATTTATTCATTTATAGATAATCTAAAATATTTCGAATATCTTTCAAGTAGCTTACACGTCTTATTGTTTTTAAAAACAAAAGTAACCATATATATATATATCAATGAAATACTCTAGTTTTACATTTTATTCTTATTTTTCTCAATAAATTTTTTCGAAGAAAAAAAATTTATTAATTGTACTCAACATTATAGCTGCGGCCAGTTCATATGAATAATCAGAATTATTTCTCACAGATTTTGAAATCATCAGGATCTTACAGACTATGAAAATACTTTTTCTTCTTATAATTAATGTCGATGTGACCGAGTGTATTTTACTCTCTCGGTTTCTTTTCAAATAAATATCCAGGTGAGCAAACATTTTTGTTTCTTCAGATTAAATCTGCAGACCTAGTCAGTTAACGGTTGAATAAAGCCCATTAAAACTAAACGAGGCTTCACATTTATATGAAAAATATTTTATGATTCACTCCATTGCGTAAATAAACAAGTAACTTCTGTTAGAACACGTTAAAAACGCATGCTCGAAAGTAAAATATGCGCGATCGACTGACAAGAATATTCTTTTTCATGTATTGCTCGCATATGAAGACGGAAATTTCGTACTCCAAAGGATAGACATTTCACTAGATAGAGAAAAGTTGTTGTGATTTATTTTATAACAGAAACCGAATCGATTCTTGAAAATCCAGTGTGGTGTCGTTGTTGAAATCATTAACAGTCACTGGATACGGTAAGAACCCAGAACCTGTTGAATGGGTCGGGGTGGGTGTGTACTGAAAGGACTTTCACCCCCACATCCCTATTCGTAGCACTTCAATACACAATTATAATGGAACTCTGAGTTTTTTGAATTTGTGATTTGTCTTCTCATGATCAGGCATGTTTCTCGGAGATAGAAAAATATAATGTCTTCATCATATTAATAGCGAATAATATAAAAAATTTAGTTTAACGATATTTACGGATCATTCAGAGAAAAACACATGCCTACCGGGTGAACTAAAAATAACAGTAAGATATAAATTTGTAATACCTTTGTTTGAGTCCAATTTAATGCGATGAAATATGCTATTATGGGTATAGCTGATGTGCTGATATCAGTCAAATTGCTTTAATCCCCCTTGATGTTTGATATATGATATTGGATTCTTGGTATAAAAAACAAACAAAAAAACTTGAGAAATCGATACTAAATAAGCTAAAGTAACGTCAATCAGAAGTACTCGATTCGAACGAATTATTCGTATTTTAAAAGTCTCTTAACAATTTTTTCCTTCGTGTTTGCATAGGAAAAGTTTATAACCTAATAAATTTTAAGGTGAAAATTTCTTAATGAAGTAGTTTTTGATTTTTCGTCTTGTTGTTTGATTGGCCGCTTCCCACGTAACAATAAAAAAGGTACTTAACGATGTGCAGGTGAACAAAACTTGATCTTTACGCTACTCTCTTGCAATTAAATCCGGCGATCATCGAACCAAGACATGGCCCATTTCCATAAGGAGACAGGAAACACCGTCCACTGGTCACTTGTCTGAAATTCTGTCTGAAATTCAAAACAAAATATTTTGCGTTTGATGTAACTACACGTAATGTCGCCGTGCTTTCTTGTCTTTGGCAAAGAGAAATAATTTACCTTGTCATTATTGATCCATAAGTGAATTTTGTTATGAATACATTTATACATAAAATTATTGTTCGTCTTCAAACGTCGAGAATTCTTAGTAAGCCAATCACGAGTAAGATATGAATCCGTGTCGATAGGCGATGAATGACAGAATTCAACTTTGACTATCGATAGATATTTTAATTGATCAATTAACAAAACAAAATCTTGACTCGAAGTTAATTCCATATTCAAACGTTCAATTTGAGGAAAGATCATGCACAATCGATTTATATCTAATTGTAGCCGAGATTCTGCTGTTGTATAGGCATTTTGCACGTGTACGTTGCGTATGTTTTTCAAGACAACATTATTCGGCACAGAAGTCAATACTGGCAAATTTCGAAATGACAGTGAACGAACACAAGGCATTTGTTCGAGGAGATCAAGAAATGCAAACAATCCGATATCAGTAGTAATTCCTTCGGTGTCGAATACAAGTGATGTTACGTTAATGAAACTATGCGGAACCGAATCCAATGATGATAGTCGAATGCAACGGATGTACTGATGGAAATTGAAATCGAATGATGTGCACAATGGTGGCCAATTAACATACGGATGCGTAACAATGCTCGACGCAAAACGAGGTACTGTGAAGATGTTTGGATCGTCGTAAGCAACAAACCACTGTTTGTGTTCAAGCCAAAATAGCGAACGAAATGATTCAAGAATCGTGTTTTTGGGAACATTGAATAATGAACAAAGATGAATGCGAAAATTGAATACAACGAGATGTGAAATAAGTAATTCCCATTGTTGACCATCGATAAGATCCATATTGCCTTGAGTGTCAAGTTCGAAATGTGTTAGATTTGGCATTTTTGAGAGCAGTTGTTCAATTTGTATCATTGTTACTTGTTCACCTTCATGCAAAAAAAAAGTCATATGTACAACTGTTGTTTTTGTTAAGTTTATCTACTCACTGTTAGTACTAAGTACGAACCGTCTTAAATGAGGTAATAGTGGTACATCATACGACCAATTGGTACGAAGATCAACGGAAAGTATAACATCAAATGAATAAAGATTTGGCATCTGACTAAGTAGTTTCGATAATTGCCAATAGTGACAAAATTTGAGATTCAAGTGACGTAGACGCGGTAGTGGCTGGTCGATTAGATGAGCAGTGTTGTAAACTGCCAGTCGATTTAGTTGAGGAAGTAAGTTTCGAATAGCCGAGTCAAAATCGGTGCAGTGCGGTTGAAACATGCGAGGCATTTCAAGTGATGACAAATATTTGAGTTGATCCAAATTGGATAGTTGTTTACATGTATTGTCGTTCATGAAACTCATGTCGAACGAACGAAGATAAGTAAATTGTTCGATATTGAAACGAGAAAAGAAAACTTCAGATTGACCGGGTGTTTCGTCATCATCCAATAATGTGAGAGAGATGACACGATCTGGCCGTATGTAGCAACACGTGACATCAAACTGAGACTTGAGAACGGAACCAAAATTAACCAAGTACCGATCGTAATTCAGTAATACGGCGTCAACATAATCACTCAGATTGTGGAATGCATAGAAAATTTCATGTGCTGAAAGATAAGCAAAAATAGTGTGGAGTAATTCAACGGGTAGCACATCTAGTCGACACAAATACATGCTTTATCTAAACGAAATGACTGCCGTTGCTCATTGGTGATGCAAGAACATAGACATGTGCATTCTCCGTTTACCTCCTTTTTGGTTGATTCTAATCAATTGAGTAAAAGAGAATCGAAGTGTACGTTGTCTCACGTTACTATATTGTCGGAATGAGTCATTCTGTTGCAGACATAGAATTGATTGAAGATCTTAGCCGAATCTCAGACACATTGATGCCCAGCGACTCCAACGATAATCTGTCAAGTATAAAACTCTAAAAAGTAAAAAAAAACAACAAGTTGAAAAATAGAGAAGTTTCGGCAAAACTAATACAATGTAAGCCTGCTCAATTTTTCACGAGCATTTTTGCAGAGATCGGGTTCGATAGCCATATCAATGAAAATTCTCGTGAACCCATTCCATGATTATTTTTAACCAATTGAACGCCTAATTGGTATATATATATATTGTAAAATTCAACATTTTCATGACGGTCTGATAGCATATCATACTCGAGTTTATTCTTAGTGAATCTATTTGGATGGATTCTCGCCAATATTGTTCGAATAGTGTTGAAATTTTCATCATTTGAATACATTCTCTTATAGATTTATCATAGTTAGGTGTGTCGATCTACGATATGTATTGTCATTAATTAATACGAATTCTATAAATGCCACACCGAGCGTGTGGGTGTGAGTGAATGAAGAGAAAACTCACACCGACACACCCACACCCACACCCTTGGCAAGCGATGAAAATTACTTGTATATCCCCGTTGTCAGTTCCTGTTTCATTTGAAATCGATGTATGTTCGTTCGTTTCATTATTCTTCTTTTATGTAAGAAAAAAAAACAGTTACCTTGAGATAAAGCCTAACATGTCAGCTGAGTTTTTCTCACGCTTTAGTTGCATTTATATCAATGGTTTTGAATATGAAAGCATAGCATATGGCAGAAAGTTGGTGCGTATTATTGCTTCTCGTCTCAAGAGTCGCTACGAGCGGTTTTCCTCCGCTCGCAATGTACATTGGTACGGGCGGCGACGCTTTTGGCGCAGTAAGTTTACCTGTTGGAGCACAGAGTCCATATGGTGCAGTGCGTATTGGTGCTGATACGAGTAATACGTACGATATTCCGATAATATACAATCATTTTGGTGGATATCATTATGCCGACACGTATATCAATGTCTTTTCACATACCCATATGGTTGGCGCTGGTGTTGTTGACTACGGTGAAGTTGGTATCTTTCCAGTTCAAGTCGATAGCGTCGAAAATTTACAAAAAATGATTGCGAACAGACACGGCTATCGAAGTGCATTTACGCATGATCGTGAACGTATTGAGCCAGGTTATTATCAAGTCTATCTTGATACACATAAAATCAATGTAGAATTAACTGCTACGGAACAAGTTGGTGTCCATCGGTACTCATTTGATAATTTCGATAAACGACACCGTACCATATTGATTGATAGTAGTTACACATTAGCGACTGATGCTTGCCGTGGAAGCCAAGTTAATATTGATCCAACCAAGAATGAAATTGTAGGTTGGATTTTTTCGAGGGAGCTCTCTCAAAACATTTCGGCGGTGTGAAAACATACTTTGTCATCACATTTGCAAATTGGACAGAATATGGCGTTTGCGAAAATGGCCGTCTAGTACAAGAAAAACCGTGGCCAATGGATGTTCATCCGGTGCTTATGTCGTGCTATCAGCCGATCAACAGCAGATCACAGTTTATGTTGGCATTAGCTTTATTTCCATTGATCAAGCACGCATCAATCAACAAGCACAAGCGAAACTACAACCATTTGATTCCGTTCGTGAATTAGTACAACAAAAATGGCTCAATGAAATATCTCGATTCGAGGTATGTTCATGTTTTTATATGGCAGATACGCACGGCAATAGACTATGATTTGAGTTGAGACTAGAACATTGGGATTTTCTAGAGAAAGAAACTTTACACATGTGTTTGCCATTAGGTTAGTGCTTCATGGAACCCTGACGCTGAAATTATGTTTTATACGGCTGTTATTCACTCGATGATGAGTCCGACTATTTGGGACGAATCTAATGGTGTCTATTTGGGTTTTGATAACCAAACGCATACTAAACCTGATTATATGGATCATGTCTATACAGATCTATCAATATGGGATGTGTTTCGAACACAAATACCTTTTATTGTTTTTCATGATCCAAAACGAGCTAATGACATTATTCATTCGATAATGATCAATGTTGAACAAGGTGGTGATTTACCAAAATGGCCATTTGCCAATGGATATACAGATTCTATGTTTGGTACTCATGCATGTATTTTATTGAGTGATTTAATTATGAAACGTGAACACGATGTTCATTTGAATATAACTCAAGTTCTCGAAGCATTACGAAAGGTAGCCAATACAGCACAAGCACATGACAGTCGTTTCAATCCACCTACTTATATAAAATATCAATATGTGCCTTTTGAGAAGGAGCGATTTTCGGCACCATATACACAAAGCTACGCTTACGATGACTGGGCGATTGGTAATGTTATGACAGCTGCAGGTCTTTTTGATGAAGCTCAACAGTATTACAATCGATCTCTATGGTTTGAAAATGTGTTTGATTCTACAATAAAAAATTTTCTGTCCAAGAAATAGTTCTGGTGATTTTTTTTGTCCTTCAAGCGATGCTGAACGGCTTATTCCATTCGATTATCGCTATGTCGAGGGTGATGCTTGGCACTATCGTTTTTTTGCACCACATAATACACCACGCCTTATCGATTTATTTGGTGACCCAAAATCATTTGTTCAGGAACTTGATACATTCTTCACTCGTGGTCGAGAATGGACAACAACAAAATTACCTAATCCATACTATTGGCCAGGAAATGAACATGATCTTTTTTCTGTTTGGCAATTTCATTATGCAAACCGATCAGATCTTACTCAAGAACATGCACGTTGGCTACTTGATCATGCTTATACGACAAAACCAGACGGAATACCGGGTAATGACGATTATGGTACAATGTCAGCATGGTATATTTTTAGCAGTATGGGATTCTACCCACTGGCCGGGTCTTCTACTTATCTAACTGGTAGTCCTGTATTCGATAGGATTACCATTCGTCGTAATAATGGACAATGTACACTGAATATAACTGTGCATAATAATTCAAATCAAAATATCTATGTTGAACAAGCTTTGCTCAATGATAAAGTTCTAGCAACGTTTCCATTCATCGATCACGTCAATGATCTTCAATGTTCAAACAAGTCAACAACGGTACAACTTGAATTTTTCATGTCATCAACGCCATCATTAATTTGATAGAATGAACTAATCTCTCCTTAAATCGACATGGAAAAACTCAAACTATTAATTACTCTGCGGACCAGAAGCTAATAGATGATAGTTACACGAAAGAAATTTATTATATTCATTATTTTCTGTGAGTGGGGTGGGGGGTGAGGGTGAAAAAATACCACAACCATTGTTGAAGAGCAGAAAAACTATAGTTTTTAAATTAATAGTATGCCGTAAAACTTAGGAAAAACGACTAGATGAATTACATGGAAGAAGAAAAAAACCGCAATGACAACACAGAGTCGTGATATTTTTATTTTATTTTTCTGTGATGGCTAATGAGACGCATCTTACTTTCTTACTCAATACATTTAATATAATGAGATACTAATATATGTTCTACCTAGATTGCTTTGCCTAAAATTGCGGACGTGAAAATGCAACCCAGGTCGAACATTCCGGTCCCGGATACGGTTTCCGGACAATTCCCGGTGGGTTTCGGTCGAAAACAGTGAGTTTCTTGTAGGTTTTCGCCGGAAATTCACGGAATACTGCTTCAGGAATCATTATCCTGGGAAGCGAAAATTATAATTATAGACAGAAACATTTCTCTTCGAGCTGAAATCTATAAAGAATAATTGTATAAATAATTGACAAATGAACAAATAATACAACACACTACATCAGAAGCTAAAATATGAAAACATTGCTAAGTGTGCTTCACTTCACAACATCAAAAAATTATGACATCACATGCAGAAATTGAAATTGATATGATTTCATCAATATTTTGAAGTTGTTATTGAATAAGAAAACAGACAATTTTAGTATGGAGACACAGGTTATATAGATTTTTATCATTATTCTTATTTCCTAGAGGGAGGAGAATCATTAAAAAAACCGTCTATTTTATCTTATTATTTTCAGAGCAACGTAAGCAGACGAAGAGCATTTTTTCCATTTTTCACTATTGGCTTTTGAACATCTCGTATGATAGGAAAGGTGGCTACCAACAACTAACTAGAATTTTATTATCAATTAATGAAAATATTGAAAATGAGTCAATCAGTTGGCAAAGATAATTACACATAAAACAATAGGTAAACAGTTGAATATTCTACACATGGATACATTAAACTAAGATTATATCTTGTAGTTCATTCGTTTTCAAATAAAAGAACAGAGAAGAGTAAGGAGCGCTATCCTTTGAATTCTTTTTTCCTAAATACGTCATAAAATTGGCATTACATATTTTCAAATTCAGGTAGATTTCAGAAACCAGTACTGAGCAGATGTTTCCCCGCCAACCTCACTGTTGTCCTTTCCTCCTCTCAGGGCTGAATAGAACATCACAGAGCATATAGGCTATAGTCAATGAAACACAAAGCTTTTCTGCGATTTAGTATTAATAGTGTCATCAACCCAGATGTGAATCGTTTTGCTTGGGCAGTTCTATGCATAATTGTTGCCATCAGTGATGTTGAAATAGTTTGAATAATCTTTTGTTCACTTACACACAATCGATAGATGTTGCTTGATCGTTAATGTAGAGTGCTGAATACGTCATTGATGTTCCGAATGAGGGTACACACGTGGGTATAGAACAACACACGCCCAGTTTTAATTAATCAGGTAATTGGGCTATTCTCGAAGTCGCGTAAATAGGTATGAATACTCATTCGAAAATTTTTATCGAAAAATAGTGTTTCTTATATATCCTGGTACTGCACAAAACACTGTGGTGATTATCTAATAGAAAATATACTCTTGTAAGTTGGAAAAGTCACAATAAGTATTATCAAATGTTTAAAATAGCGAGAAAAGATAACTTTATTTTATTTTATTAATATAAAAAGTGCTTATGTGGTTTTTTTCACTTTTATTTTACATGAGGCGGATAGGCTTGCCTCTGGATAGGAGTGGGCGTCGTTATTCATTTAGGAAAGTTTGGCATCCTCTCCATAGCTCACCCACACTCACATGCAGAATTTCAGTCGATTGTGCTTTCAACATGCGTGAGCCACTACCGAATCAGGGATTTGCAAGCGCATATATATCGTCTGCACTCAATCGTCTAGCATAAACGCGAAACTCATCGATCAAACCTTTGAACGTGCCAGTATGCGCGATCATATACGTATTACAGGAGCCGCCCTGCACACCAAGTACAGAGTTGGCGAGCGTCAAATACATGGACACACCCGACGCTGAGAAGGAAAAGGCTGGTGTCCCGTTGATCAATATTCCATTGATATAGAGTTGGAGCCCAATGGTTGCAGAATATGTCGTCGCAACGTGACTCCATGTATTGATGGGCAAGACAGAACCATTTATAATCATCGGAGAGCCTGCCCAGCTGCGACATGCCAATTGACCATTGGAGAGAAAGCCTAGCATGTCAATACACCAGCCCTGTCCAGTGCTGGTTTGAGAGAGATGAACCAGAGGCGCTTCGCTCAATGTGGATGGTTGAACCCACAGAGTTACTGAATAGGATGAATTTGGTTGGCCCAGTTGCACGAAGCCGGCGATCTTGACAAAAGAAAAGAAGCTAGTTTCATTAGATCTTTACATCGAATATATAACGACGATTGAGATGAAAGGGTATGGTTGTATTTCTTTTTTTAATAATCACCCGTCCACATTTACACCCTCAAGATTAGGTTTTTTCTTACTGTGCTAGATTTCATGCATGATCACTATCAAATATACAAGTGTGTACAAAAAAATGGAACATTGAGGAAGAAGAGACTGGACTCTCTCTCTCTCTCTCTCTCTCTCTCTTTCATGCTAAACGTGATGTATCAATACGGATCACTATTTGTTTTCATAAATACCTCGTATAACGACGAATTTGAATAGAAACTCGATGCTTCATTGATTCGTCCCGCTATGGACGAGACGTTAACAACTTGAAAGGCATTGAGCCGATTACCACTTGAATCATTGTGCGAGCCACCATCGAACGAATGCCACGCCACCAAACCAGAATTATTGAGCACTTAAGTGAAAAAAAAAGTAATCATTTTGTCGAGCATCGCAAGAAAATGATAGCAATAACTTTTGTCAGAAGTATTTATAAAAATTTTACGCTCAAACTAGAGGTTCTGATATCTTTCAAACAAACAACTGGATTTGGCTTAATAGAGGCTTTTTAGAAGCAATTCCGACGACATAATCGACTTAAATCATTGAACCCATACTTTATCAATGTATCCTTCATTATGTAATTGCTAGTTTTCTGAAATATTTCATTAGAAAGAACATTAAAAACTACATAACCGACATGTTACTAGTCACAGGTTTCTGAAATTTATCAAAAATCGAAACACTTCTCTCTAAAAATAGAGACGTACAGAAAGTTTTGATAGTTTAGCATCGGTAACCGTCAGTCAAACTGTAAAAATTTTACTATAACGTTGTTTTTTTTACGAATGACTATCTCGTCTTTTTGTCTATTCTATTCATGTATTTCAACTATTCAACAATTTCTCTATATACCTATTGGCAGTTGAAAAAAATAAAATCGTGCATTTGTATCGTTAGTAAGCCAGAATTCATAGAATGTGGCATTTGAGAAGAGTTGACACGTGTTATTATTGGTGAAGCAATTAAATGAGCTGATGTTGCCTGAATAATAAGAGTTTATTCCTATAGCACATAAACACTCTTGACACGTGCCATTAAGTGTGGGCGCATTCTTTAAGCGAGTGCTCCATGCAGGTAGACTCAGTCCAGCATTATAGATGATGCCAACTGTGATGGCATTGCTGTTGGTAGAGCATTGCAACCAAAAGAGTATGCTGATAGTCAGAAACACGAAGAATAACATGGGCCACGTAGGGTGGTAGCGACGTGAATTAAAATTCTTTGGATTGAATTGTACACTGTAAACTAGAAAATAAGTTGTAGAGTTTAATCAAGGATATTTTAGGAATGCCTATATGAATTCGCCGGTGAATTTCTAAATTCTGGCAAATACGATATTCAAAACATAAAAAATATGAACTTCGATTTTCTAATTGGAAGATCGAAAGTGAATTCATATAGGTATTCCTAGAATTTCAGATCCGATATAGCGATTGGAATATATTCTAAAAACTAGAAAATCGAATTTGACTTCCTCGCCATCATGAAGCACTGATACTTGATGATGGAAATAAAAATAAAATACAACATAAACAAATAAAATAAAATAAAATAAAATAGCAAGCATTGCAGACTAAAGCAAAATAAAAAAGTAAAACTGAAAAAATAAAAGGTAAAAGGAAATAAAATAAAAACTAAAATAAAAAAATCATTAACATAAAATAAGCACTAAAAGAATAAAAGGTAAAAGGAAATGAAAAACAAAATAAAATGAGAAAAAATATTTAATAACTCCTAATAGCGAGTTGAAGAAAATAATGAATGTTTAACATTATACCTGCTGACCTATATACTAAGACAGGGCAATGACTAAGGTGACGGTCTTTGTTTCGACAATCTTGGAAGAAATAGAATCAATTTTTTCGTTTTTAAAAATTCTCAATCGATATTCTATAAAATCAGAACTAATTTTCAAATGGCCAGAAATCTATTGCGGGTTTTCTACTTTATAGAAAATGATTTCTTTTGAAATTGAAATTCAATTTCTATAAATGGGAAAGTCAAGCATTTTCAATTTGTGCAAAATCCAATGAATAAATCATAAAGCTTTAAAAATGCTTCAGTTTATTTGAGATCGATTTTCCAATTTATAGAATTTGAAAGAATGAACTGTGTGAACAGCAAACATATCAGCCCCGATGTTTTCTTCATTTGCCTGATTACGCATGCACTCAGTTTGAATGAGAACACATACATGCGTAATGTCTTTCTTGAATAAAGTATCACATATTTCCGTATATTTTAATTTCTCAACCAAATACAGAAAGCAACGACAAACACGACAGTAGGATTTTCTTTCTTTAAAATACACAGCATACATGAATGTGTTACTTCTATTACTGATGGTACGTTGCAAAATGAAAAGACCGGCATGGAGGCGAGCAGCAACCAGCGTAGTATGCTTATTTAATTTTCGCTTTGAAATTATGAACGGTATGTTAGCGGCAAACATACCCACTCTTATATTCTTTTCTGACCTCGCTGACACATGAATTCAATTTGAATGAGATGGTAGATGCACATTCTCTCTTGTTGAAAGAAAATGTCGAACATTTCCGCATGCTTGTTTTCTCCACTGAATAAAGTAAACAAAGGCAAACACGGGAATAGAACGTTTTTCAATAGTATTCATTATAGCACGGGTATCTCATATCCACACCTTCAACGTGATCTTAGAGTACATATAAAAATAGCTGTTAAAAATTTTGTATTTGACTATGAAGAAATAATTTAATGCTATTGCATTCGTGTTAGTTTAACATTAGCATAATGCAAGCACTTATCTTGCTAATGTAAGCTATTGGTAGATATATGTATTCAATTGAAGTATGAAAACAGCTGAACAGGATTTTTTTTGTTAAGGCGACATTGATCTTGAAATATCTTATACGTATTATCTGAGCATCTTATTCCTATGTAAGCCTTAAAACTTATATTTATTTGCAACATATGTATATATATAGGAGAAACAAGTTAAATGAGAGAGGCTCAAATGACTGAACATCGAGCAAAAATAAGAATACTAGTATCCGACTCAAAACTCGTTGAACATACAGGCCATTCCATTTATTTTGAAACGATTTCACTGGTTCATTTTTTCACCAATACATGATATAGGTCTTTTGATTCTTATTTCGGTTTATCCTACTAAAGCTAAATATGTTCTAATAATATTTATATTTTAGATAAAAGAATGCCTCGATATAAAATATAGGATAATATCGAAGGTACCGTCAAATATCTTTTGACGAAAACGTATTCATACTATGTGATCCAGCAAGAACTAGCACGAATGAATTTGAATGTATCAAAAAGCACTATCAGTCGTATTGCTAATGAAGTTGGAAAGCAACGGCAATTGTGCTTATTGAATAGTGAAAAACCAAAGTTTCATCGTCGTCGTCACACAGCAACACCTTCCATAGTTCGTCGTATTACATCATACATTAATCAAGAAAATTCCCAAACCGTTTCTTTAATGGCTGCAAGGTGTCACATTAGTGTTGGTGCCACGTTTCTTACTATTCGTGATATTATCCATCAAAATGTCATAAAAAAAGGTCAGTACATCGATTTTATCCAGCTATTACTGAAAAGAGACCATCTCGAGCTTGGCGTATGTACCGACGATTATCAAATGAAAAGAATAAGAATTATCTAACTACTGATGAAGCATGGTTTTATCTCGATGCGAGTCAAGGTACAAGAGATATATACTATGTTAGAAGTAATCAACTACCAGCAGAAATAAAAAAAATTGAACAGAACGATTTACATCCTGTAGCTGTAATGCTTTGGGCTGGTGTCAGTTCACATGGAAAAACTCAAGTATATTTTATTGAACATGGGGCTACAATAACCAGCAAATATTATATCGAACACATCATACACTGTAAACAAAAGGTGTTCTACGGAACGAAAAAAGGATCCGAGCGCGGACACACGGTCAGATCCTTTTTTGGTTTCGTAGAAAAAAGGTTCCGTATGGAACGTCTTTTTGGTAAATGGAAAAAAAAGGTTTCGTACACATGGTTTCGTATAAAACTTTCCGAATCATATTCATCTGATGAGGGACCCCTTGGAAGTGATGTATAGTTTTCGAGTTGAGCTGCCGTACATATGGTCAATTTCAGTGAGATATGGAAAACCTCTGAAGGATGCCTTTCGTTAGTTCTTCCTTCGAAAGTTATCATTATGTGATCAAAATTTCAGTGAAATGCCTAGGAGGAAACTTTTGTAGCTGTCGAATTGGTTTTGAGTTTGAGCCCAGTTTGCCAGATAGGTCTTAGTAAAATATAAAAAACTCCAAGTGAACGATGCTCATGTCTTCTTTAGAAAGTTGCAGACATTTTCTTGAATTTTAGCCTATAGCGTCGCAGATATCAGTGAATTGAATGAGACTATTTCTATTTGAGATTTCATGAAGAGAGTAATTGATCTATGAGGAAAATATCCCGAAGGTTTATTTCAAAAGAATGCATATTTCCTAGCGAAATTAAAGTTCACGGAAAATACAACATTTCGTCATCCTTTTTGCGGCACTAGTGGTATTGTTGAACTACGAAAACTCTGGAAAAGAGGTCTGTTTTTGAAATAAACCCTTTGAGGCATTCACGCTATAGGCTAAAATTCGAGAAAATGCCTGCAACTTTCTAAAGAAGACTTATGAGCATCGTTCACTTGGAGCTTTTTATATTTTACTAAGACCTATCTAAAAAACTGGGCTCAAACTTAAAACCAATTCGACAGCTACAAAGGTTTCCTCCTTAGCATTTCACTGAAATTCTGATAACATAAGGATAACCTTCAAAGGAAGAACTAACGAAAGGCTTCCTTCATTGGCTTTCCTTATCTCACTGAAATCGGCCATATGTACGGCAGCTCACCTCGAAAACCATGTATCACTTCCAAGTGCTTTCTCTTTAGACACGAAAGAAAAAATTATTGTTTACATCAAACCCGTGAATCAGTCTTCCTGAAAAAAAAAGAACTGACAAAAATCATAAACTTACTTCCATATCAAGATCCACAGCAAACAAATAACCAGTTATTTTGGCCAATAAACTGACATGACAATTAGCATCTCACTCAAGTCTGAAACAGGAAAAGAATCATTTATTAAACAAAATTAACGTACTTCAAAATCGAAAACCGGCATCGATCTACGATAGAAAGAAAAGGCAATATATTTAAAGAAGAAAACTTATATTTAGGCATCCATTGAATATTTATCCGCGTCAGGCAAAAAATAAGCATTAAACGAATAGAATAGCTGCTAAATCTGAACTGGAAATCAATCTATCACAAGCATAAATTTTTCTATATAAAGAAATAAAGCTTACTTCCAAATAAGCAGCCACTGTCAACCTAAACAAAAATATAACAGTTATAATAAACATAATATTTTACTATAGAAAACTATACGTACCAATAATCGTATAAATCACGATCTAACTGATGTTCCTTCACATAACTATCCACGGTCTATAGCCAAAAGTCATCATTGGACTTAACGGTACCCTAACCATTCCTGGTCCTAATAGTTATTCATGACTTAACCATTGGTAGTTTTTATAGATATGGATCATCTATTTTACCCGGCTCTTCAATAATATAGATGACTTACTTACTTACGCAGAAAAAAGGTGTCATACTGAACCTTTTAAGGTTCTAGATTTGGGTACCATTTTCAGAACCATTTATGGTTCACGCAAAATCTGGTTCTAGTTGGAATATTTTCCTATTTCTTCCAAAAATGGTTCTAGAGTAGTAAAATGTAGTCCACTACACTCAATTAGTCTAGTACTCCAGACTAATGCTTTATCCCATCGTTAATTTCATATTTAATCCCTTTTTCCTAACCTTAACCCTTTTTTCTATGTGTTATATTTACCTAGATTTGTTGTGAGTAGAATACGAGCTAGCACTTTCTCCGTTATTCGCACGAAAGCGGCATCGCCGTTAATTGTTGTTGTGACCATCCTAAACAAAAAAAGAACAGTAACTTATGTTGTAAGATTCAACTTACCATTAAATGAATTATTCACATATACCTAAAATAATTTAAAAAAAACACCAATTCATTTTATCATATTAGACTTACATTTGAATTGATTATTCATACATACCTAACTACAGAAAATCTTGAATTCATTTTATCAGATTGACATTACCTGTCTATTGATACATGCGTCATATCGAAAAAGATAAAAGAGCGATCGTGCTTCACGGGTTACCACTAATAATTGAATTCATTTTGGAAACACAACTACCCAGTTCCATCATTTAACTATGGCATCCCTGGCGTCGACAAAAATGATGACGGATTCGGATTCTTCGACATCGATAACCTACTTCCAACTTCAATCAGAATTCTGATCGGAGTCGAAATAAAAAGTCTAACTTCGGACCCGTCGAATTTTCAAAGTACCTATTTTCTGACCAATGGGAGCTCAGACGGAAAAAAGTAATGACGGAGTCGGAATCCCAGACCTCAATAACCTATTCGTGATTTATATTACTTAAATCACGTTCGGAAAATATAGTATCTTGGTACAAGGCAGAAGGATTTTTTGGGAAATCGGTTCAGCATGTAAAACAAAATGCCGTAAGACAGAACCTCTTTAAACATCCCGAACTATTTCTGTTGTGATATGGTTCTTTAAATTAGCTAGAACCCTCGATGGTTTATTAATACACGAGTGAAACCTCAAAAGGTTCAATATCTTGACTAGAACCATAAATAGTTCCATATGACACCTTTTTTTTCATAGTACGAAACTATTCAGAGTTTCGCCACTTATTTGAAGGTTCAGTATGCATAGTACAAAACTATAGATAGTGCCGAAAGCTAGATACACGTAGGTTTTATGTGAATTATATAATACCATTGATAGTTCCGTATATCTGTTACGAACCCATTGAATTCTACAATGGCTCGGCATATCTTTACAAAACCGTGCATACCTCTATAAATATTACAAAGGTTTCGTACCCACTTTACGAAATTACTAATAACTTCGAAAGGCATATAATGGTTTTGTATATCTTTTGCGGAGCCATTAGCGGTTTCGTCCATTTATCTGAAGGTTCAGCAGACATACTATGAAATTTTTTGCCAGTTTCATAGAGTATCTTAAAGTTCCGGATATGTTCTACGAAACCATTCACAGTTGTTTAAGTGCTCTAATTGTTCCGAACATATTCCACGATGCTAGCCATGGTTTTGCAAAAGATATACTGAACTATTATATCATTTACGAAAGTGTAAATGGTTTCGTGCAATACACGCTGAACCTTTGGATGTTTCGCGAAACTTTGCATGGATTCGTATAAGATACACGAAACCTCCCCTTGTTAAACGAAATTCTCATTAGTTTCCGTAAAACATAAACATTCAGCGTAGATCGTACGAAACTGTTCACTGCTTCATAAATGATGCAAAGGTTCAGTATTTCTTTGACGGAACTGGAATTAGTTTCGCAGAATGTATCCAGAACCTTTAGTGGACTTACACAACCCTGAATGGTTTCGAAGAATTTATGCGGAACTTTTAAATGCTGTTCAGAACTCCCAATGGTTTAGTATGACGAATACGAAACTACCAAAAGTTCGGTTCGCACTCAACGAAACTTTTAGATGGTTTCGTAGTAAAACTTCAAAACCCTTTCCAACTTTCGGAACTTAAAAAGGTTCTGTATGAAAGTTCCGAAACTATTTTCATGCCATGGAACTTAAAAGCGTTTCGTCAAATAGTACCAAACCTTCAAAGTTCTGCAAAACACCAATTGTTTTTACAGTGTTGTCATTTCTCACAATATACCATCTAACTGGCGTCGTCTTCCACAGTGATCGCTGTCATTTCTCATGACATACCATGTGATGCTGAAAGTCCTAAATAGTGATTATTGACATTTCTCATGGCATACCATGTGATGCTGAACGTCTTAAATAGTGGTCGTTGTCATCTTTCATGACATAGCATGTGATCAGGTTGCGGATGTTAAGTATAATTAACTGTTCATTCGACTTAGTTGTGCTGAGAATGCATCCTATTCCGCAATGTTTAACATTCCGGAGCCAGTTCCGCTCACGGAACCAATTCCGTCTAATTCCCCGAATTCCATTTATCCCTTCGCTTCAATTCCAGAATTCCCGGAATCACAGCCGACCAATTCCATCTAATTCCCGGAATTCCGTTTATCCCTTCCGATTCAATTCCGGAATTACACGGAATTCCTACGGATTCCGCCTAAATCCCAACTTTTCCGGAGTTCAGTGCACTCACGCTGACATCCACACCCACAATTATGACAACACCCACACCAGCACCTACACTTATTGCAAAACCCTCATTGACACACACGCCATGCAATTCCAGTACGGAATTCCGGGAATTAAGTCGAACAGGAATGGAACGGAATTACTCGGAATTCCTAGGAATTACGTCGATTCCCAGGAATTCCGTATTGTCCTAAATCCGGATTTCCGAAGCGGAATCGGACCATCACCAAATGGGTATGACAAGATAGAATAGAAACACAAGTTGTAATTCCGGAATTCCGTCTAATTCCCAGCGATTCCGGAATTGAGTGGTCAATGGACAATTGATATATCTTACAGCTCGGTGACAAATGCAATTCCGGTGTGGAATTCTGGGAATTTGGTCGAACAGGAATTGAACGGAATTACACGGAATTCGAAGGAATTCCGTCTAATTCCTAGCGATTCCGTATTGACCTAATTCCGGAATTCCGGGAATCGGGCGAACTAATTCCGGAATCGAACAGTGTTCATATTTGACCTAATTTCAGAATCGACGGAACTGATTCCGGAGGCGGAACTGGTTCCGAAATGTTCAACATTGCGGAATAGGATGACTGCTCGTTGTGCTTTGTATTCAATTTTGCTTTTGCTTCTGTTTAGAGTACGGTGGTTTTGATCGTGAACATTTAATACAAAATAACTATAGAAGTAAGTATTTAAGTAAATAATTTTTTTATTTTCTCCTCGTTAATGGATGCTATGTCGAATTAGCGAAATTTCAATTAGTTTCTTTTCGTTTTCTCTAATTTAGTATTAAGACTTATTTTTTTAATTTTGGTATCTGTTCTTGTTTAGAATGTGTCGGTAACAATCATGACGAATCATAATCTTTAATGGGTACGGTAAGTATTCTAAGTAACAATGCTTTCTTTTGATTTCAGAAGAACAAGTCGGAATGATTCGAAATACTATGATTTAATTTTCCTCTATCTAACATAGATTAATTACTTATACATGTTTTTGTTCTTCTCTTGTGTAGAATATTTTCGCATCGATCATGGATCATGAGGAATCACAAATGAAATTATTACTTAGGAGTAAACGTTCAAATAATATTATTTTTCTTTTCTTTTCTTTTTCAGATGTTTAAGTTGGAATCTTATTCAAGAGGCTCATTTTAGTTTCGGTTATCTACCATTGTTTTATTACATATTCGTTTGTTTTTGTTCTTCTCTTGTTTAGAATATTTGTTCACTCTATCAACAGCAATGATATTACTATTCTTTTCTTGTTTGGCTTGTGCACTGGTGAATTGAAAGATAATTATTAATTTTTTTATGAATATATTTGCAAATAGTTAATATATTCCAGATTTAGTCTTTCCTTTTATTTGTTCTAGATATTCTATTATGATGCTTGGAATGATTGGCAAATGGTTACGAATTAAACTGTATAAGGATCTGTAAGTAATATTTAAAATAAACAATATTTTTTCTTTTTCGTTTCAGAGGTGCAACTTAGGATTATCTAATCATGTTTTGTATCTAACTTAAATAAACTCTATATTCATTTAGTTTTTTTTCTCTTGTTTAGTTATATTCATTTGATTTACTTTTACCTGTTTTTTTCTCGTTCTAGATCTTCTATTATGACCCTCAAGAATGGTTGACACTTATAATTAAATATCAAGTGTAATGTG